CGGTTTTCAGCCGGCACGCAGGACCCCAAACGCCACATCTGCATCGTGAACTGCTGCTGCGGCGTGATGCCACCGCCGCTGGTGGGTTTTCACCAGGAGCTGCGTAAATTCACTGAAGCCTGCGCAAGTTGAAGGAAGCCCAAAAGCCGAGAAGTTTTGAGGGAAGGTTTGCCCTTAAAACATGTGCCCCATGCGAGTGGCGGGGCCCTGCGGGGGTTTCTTCTACACCCAGACGGTGCTTTTGTAGAGTGCTGGCTGTCCACCAAGCAACCTCCTGCTTTGTGGGGGAAGAGCTTTAGAACTTGGGGCCGCAAGTGAATTTCTTTGCTGCACAACTGCAGCTGAGGGGAGGCTTTTGCAGCCCTTACGTGTTTAAGGCCTTCCCTCCTTTGCCGGACCATTGGAGCCATGTTGCATTTCGCTTGGCCTTTTGCGGGATGATGAGGGAGCGCAAGCAAAGCAAACGTCGCAGACTCCTAACGTTGCCATCGTGGCAAAAGCCCACCTCGACCCCACCTTTCGGAGGCCTACGCTCTGGGTTTGCCGCTCGCAAGGAGACAGAACTCTACTGCCAGGTGCCCTCGCTGCTGGCGTCCTTATGCCTGCCCAAGCCTTTTGTAGTGTGCCCCTTTGGGCCAGCCGCGAAGAAGGAGGACCAAACCGTGCCACTTCCAGCCCCCCAATCGCTTTGTTGGACGGGCCTTTTGGCCCGGGTGCGGTTGACCCCTCAACACCAGGAACCAGGAACATCCATGTTGCGAGTGCGTTGTGACGTTGCTAACTCAGGCTTTCAATCTGGGTGCTAAATAGCCCGACCACACGGCACTCCGGTTCGCGGCAGGACACCAGCCCGAAGAAGCAGGACCTTGGGCCAGGCACTTGACCATCGGAAGCTTCCCTTCCGGCGCCTCAAAATGTTAAACATATCGCGCTCCAGGCCCCAGTGCTTTGAAACACAGTGCCATCCATGGTAAGTCAGAGCCAGCAGCTTGCCGTGCACGAGCCGCTGGTGGATAGCGCACAAAACCAGGGCCAACGTTGCACTAAGAGGGAACAGCGCGCACACCTTAGCTTAGGGCTCTTTAGTTGCACAATCAAAGAAGAGCCCCGATTTACCATGATCTCCGGCTGCCGCCAAAAACGGGGGCGTCCGCTCTCGCAGGAGGGCAAGGAGGAGTGGGACTCTCGCTTCAGCCACGGGGCTGCAGTGAGGTGCGAAGGCCAAAGTCCCACGCTGAATTCACCTGCGTGTACTTTGCGGAGGCAATCCTAGTTGGGGGCGCAGGCTCGCGTAGGCTTCTGCGCGGAGGCTGATGAATCACCCCTCGCGTAGGCTTCTCGCATAGGCATTGTTTGATCGAAACATGGTTCACTGCTGTTTGTCAAGTAAAGGAGTCGGCTTCGTTTGGCTTCTTTCTGTTTGTTGTATAGTCTTCGCGTAGACCGCGTGCAGGCGCTTTCTATTTTGAATATGTAGGCCTTTCTGGCAGCCAGATCCTTGGGCAGATGTGGGGTTCTCACTTGTGCTGCAAAGGTGATCTTAAAGTGTGTTTCGCATACTACATTTGTACTGAACAGGCAGAGCTGCCAAAGTGCACTCGAACTGAACATTTGCCTGCGTAGGCGTGCGCGTAAGCACCAGCAAGATGACTTGTGCTCGTGTATGCACCCTTTGCAGCGGCATAGGCTTGCGGAGGCTTCCGCGTAGACACGCACGTGTTGTATAGGCCCCGGGCCACCCGAAAATAACACTGCTCACCTGAGGTAAATATTTTTCTCCACCCGTCAGACGGGGTCGCTAAATTTATCGAGAATCCGCATGAGCGCCAGCAGCTCCTCAAAAGATGCAGACCAAAGCGGCCGCATACGCGCAGGTCACGTCCAGGTCTGTGTGTTTGTGTGGGGACGCGCGCGGAGTTTCTGTGTGGGGCCAGAGGATCTGAGTGCCAGATGCCCACCGCCTGAGTGTCTGCGCGGGGCCATGCCAGAGAGAGCCAATCAGATACAGATACGCGCGCCCGGTTATGCAGATACGCGCGTGTCTGTGCGGGGCCAGATGCGCAGAGGTCCAGGTCTGAGTGTGTAGGGAACGCCAGAGCCAGTTGGACACAGATATGAGCAGGTCGGGTATCTCTACACGGGGAAGGGGTTGTACTCTCGGTGTCGGCCAAAAGGAACCCGACCATTTTCGAGATGGGTTTCTTCCACCCTTTGAGGGTGCCATAGAGCTTGCTAAAAGGCCCGGCAAATCAAGCTTTCGGCCTTCGTGCAGTGATGATTTCGGCAGAGATTTGATAGAGCTGCTCAAACGGGCACTGTCATGTCAGTGTTTGAACTGAGAGAAATCCAAATGCTTGTTTCCCTTCGTCGCTGTCGGGAACGCCACGTGTTGGAGATTTGGACCCCTAATTAATAGGAAACAACAGATTCAACTCACCAGGGCCTCCAACAAAGATAGCACTCGACATACGCGGCGTTGCTGGTATGGCGAGGCACCGTGGTATACTCACCCGACTGCGTGGTTTGCCGGAATTCGGTTTCAGAGGACGCAGTTGGGAGGCAGCTGCCGCATTCGTTTGAATGCTCAGCAGAGTTTTTTCCATTGCGAAATTCGATTTCCTGCTCAGGACGAGAGTTGAGGCTGCATCCAAATCATCATTTGGGTTGATCCCTGCAGGATTTCGAAGCACTTCCACTCTCAAGTCAAACCGTCGTGTCTGCAGCTTGGCCCGCATTTGATCAGCTGCTGTTGTGACTTGACCGGGTTGGACTGGCCCTGCCCGACTTTGAGGTGATCAACTCGGCCCTGCCTCTGAAAGCCCAACACGGGCATCTTGACACTCGTCAGTTGGAGAAGTGCCTGGACTTCAAGAGATCCGCGTGTTTGCTCTCCAGATTGGCATGCCCGCCCTTGATGGGGTTTGAGCGGTGCGGCGGCAAATCTTGACCAGTTGCCCCTGCCACGAATAATGGATGATTGATTTTCCGACCAGCTGTCAAGTAAAATGGTTCTGGCACAACCTGCGGCAAACCAATCAGGGGCTCCAAATCGATCTGGCTATGAACTTCACCTTCGGGCGTGGTGGACATCATCCCCGCCGAATTCTGATGTCCACCAGAGCGGGACCCACTAAGATTTACACCCAGAGAAGCATCTTGTTTGTTGGCCGGGTGTCACCCAGGTCAATTCTGGAGACTTTGACCTCAGCCTTCGCCACACCGGTGATGCGGAGTCCTGTGTGCACCACACTTATCGTTGGAGCTCCTTGCATACGAAGTATGTCAATGGCCGGTTTTTGGTCGCTTTAGGCCCGAGGAAAGGAGGCCTCAATAAAATTGGCTCCCCCGTGTTTGCGGTCCGTGTAGCTTTGCGGGTGCGACTAAGACAGCAAGGGAACTCAACGGATTGGAGCGCCCGAGGATGGCAGCAATTGTAGAGTAGTTGTAGAACACAACCGGAGCGACATCGGATTCCCGACAACGAATGGCCTGGCCTGGCAGCCAAGTTTCGCCTGAACTGGCCCCCTCCACGACGACTGAAAGCCTGCGCTGCCAGTAAATGTGCTTTGAATACTGTGGCGCATGTGTGTGTGTTGTACGGTCTGCCCCTCCTCACGTGCCAGGCGCATATTGCCAAGGGCAGTTGGTTGACACCTCGGCTCAGGCGTCTCCTTGATTCTCCTGCGGCTGAATCCAAGGGCTTAAGGGGCCCTGGGAGGAAAAGCACGCCTCTTCATTCTGCAAAGGCAAGCACATTGAGTTCTAGAACTATGCCAAACCACTGCAACCGGTAAGGAGAGAAACGACTATGACAGGAGGTAGGACCAGGTACCCCGGCAAGCCCTTGACCCAACTAGTGCCAAGGTGGACCATTTGCTGATAGCCGCATGATTGCGCAAGCTCTACTGCCGCTATGAGAGGTACAAGTAAGTCTTGCTACACGTCAACAGGAGCAAACACTTAGACTACGAAAGGCCTACAGGTAGACTATCACGCGCAGAATGCAAGACTTCGGAAAGACTATGGGAGGAATACGAGAATATCATGATTGTAGTACTGCCACCACAAGCAGACATGGAAATACTACGGGGGACTGCTGGAAGTCCCCACTTAAGAAGTCACTCCGGAGGATTTCTGTGAAGCTCTAAGACTCTGAGGCCTGGGGCTGCGGGGAGCATTTCGCCACCCAGACCGAGACTGTGGCCACCAAACTTGCTGAGCGCCTCCGGCGGAGTTGAAATGGTTGAGAGGTATGCGGGATCCATCCCTGGGTATGCCGACAATAGCCAAGGAGAAACCCCTAAAAACGCCTTGCAAAGGGTTGAACTCCCCCATCGCCCCTTTTGGGGCCTATGATCCTGGCTGGGAGCATTTAAGATCTTTCGGCCTCCTTCTTCGGCGTGTGTCAGCCAAAACTTTGCGCCAAGCCGCTGTGAGGCTCTTGGCTGGCAAGCTGGTGGAGCACGTGAGGGTTGGTTGGCTCTTCAGCGAGGTGCACTTCTGCTTCCCGCACTATGACGTGAGCATCACCGGGCAAAGCAGCCCACCAGAAACTGTCATGGGTGGGTGTTTGGCGCCTGGGCTCAGCCAAGGTACCAAGAAGACCGACAAGGATCCTGCAATCGACATCTTCCGCAGGATCTTTGATCAACACCACATCAACCCTAGACTGCTCTAGCCTGGGGCCTGCCAAAATTGGCATGCCCTGTGGAGGATCGACCACCTTGAGCCGCGCCGCGTTTGCTCGCCTGGCGTAATTCACGCGAGGCCGGCAGCCTGGGGTTTGTTAAAAAGATGGTCACAGCGGCCTTTCTTCCCCGATTATCAAAAACAATTGCAATTATACCGTCAGGGCGACTGTTTGCAGCTGCAGACCTGTTGCAAGCTGCAAGCCTTTTGCATGCGCGGGAAATTGGGAACGGGGTTGAAACGTTAAAGCCATGGCAGCCATGGGTTGTGGCTTGGACTTGTGCCCTCGGCGAACTCTATGGCGATCTGAGGCACGGCGCCAGCTCGCTCCTCACAGTGTTCGCCCTCGCCTCCGGGACATGGGGTAGGGAATCGGAGGAATCGGCATGCATGGCCTCGTTTGGTTTATCTCGGCCTCAACAGCCACTGGCCGTCCCTAGGGAGGGCCAATCTCAATTGGCTCCTGGGAACTCTGGCTCCTTTTTGCCGATGGAATGCTTAGTCTTGTTGTGGACTCGTGTGAGTGATTTCAGCAACAGTGCATAGCTGGATTTCTAGGAGGCCTGGAGTCTTTGCGGTTGAGCTGCCCGATGGCATGTGGCATAAGCATTCTGAGGGCCAGCCCACGGTTCCACGCTCTAGCTAGCTGCCTCTAACTTCTCGCTTTTGGCTAAGGTTACGATATCAAGATGATCTGATTGATGAGCTTTGTGAGTCTTCAAGCATTCAATCCTGCAAGAGTACTTCTATGGAAGTTGTCCATGGTTTTGTCCGGGGTCATCATAAAACATAGTGTGCTACCATTGGAAACGCTCGGCGTATTCTCAGTCTGATATTCATAGCAATGATGTATTGCTATCAAACCATTGCTATCATTTTGGCTACGTGGCAGCATGATTTTGCAAGAACCATTTTTGAAGAGCCTTAAGCCCAATAATTTTGAATCCTGTAGTCAGGTCCACGCAGCCTTTTACAGTTGTAGGCTGGAATGTGAAGGAGGCGGTCAGTCAGTCCGTCATACAGCGTTAAATAGTCAGTTCGTCCGGCAGACAGTCAGTCAGGCCATCAGACAGCCAGCCAAGTTGTCAAGCAGACGGAGACGGAGACAGAGACGATTAGACAGTCAGTCAGTCACTCAGTCAGTCCGCCAGCTAGCCAGCCAGCCAGTCTGTGAGTCAACCAGTGAGTCATCCAAAGTTTAGGAACAACATTCGCCAAATTATGTTGTCAAAATAAAGGTAGGGGGAATCTCCAAACTGGCAACTTTCCTTTCACCCTCCCTTCGAAGCCAAGCTAACCCCCCCCCCCCGCGTCGAAGGCCTCCGCAACCCGCAGACCCGCAGGCAGGACCTGGCCGAGCTTCGCTCGGCCAAGGACACGCACGCCGCCTTCGCGCGGCAGCCGAGTTGAGAGACGTCGAAGGTCCGAGGTCGCGTTTTGAGGGGGCCCTGATCCCGCGTGGGTTGGTGACCTGGATCTTACTGATTTTTAAATCTTCTCAAGGGTTGGGTGCTCAGAACTGGTTTGTCGCGAGGGCATGGTTGAGACTACCTCATGACCATGACAAGGTGTCATCTTGCCTGAAACGCCCTTGAATGGGTATTTGCCTCAGTGGCAACTCGAATTGCCAGATGAGCGTTGACCCGTTTTGACCCAAACCGCATGGTTGCTCAACTTGATCCGATTGTGATCACGGTGTTGAAGCTTTGGGTTGTGTAGGGCTTGGCTAATCACTAACTAGTCTTTTGGACCAGGCGGGGTTATCGGGATTGCATATGAGTACCTACTTCGGGCTTTGGCTAGGAGTGGCTATCATCAAACATCATGGCGTTTCATTGTAGCCATCAGGATTTCCGTTGGAGAATCGACTCCTCGTTTTGCCCGCAATTGGTCTTGGGCGCATCTTTTGACAAGCATCCCGCCGAAACCAATTGGACACGTCGAGGCCACAAACACCCCTCCAGTTGGGGCAAACTAAAGTCTGCAATTGCATTGAAATTTGGGATGCCATGCCCGCCAGAGGTTGTGCCTGATAACCCTCAGCTGGGGTTTAGGGCCAAGTCTATCTCGGAACCCTCCCCAGGCGGACTTTGTGGAGCAAGCTGCCCGTGCCTTGCGCTCCGTGCTCCGAGCTCGGCCAGGGGTGCGTTTTTGCGCAGGGAAGTCGTGGCTGCCATTTCTTAATGGGCGACAACACCTTCTACGATGAAAGAGCATGTCTCTCTCACACACACACATGTCAATACATATATATATATATATGTGTGTGTATACATAGATATACGAATACATTTATGTGTTCACCATTGAACAATCGCTTTACAACACTTTTATCCAAACAACATACGTGTCATCCACAAGGCTCTTCGCTGCTTGCTTTGAGGGGTGCTGTTCAAGGACCTATTATTTTTGTTGCTAATTCTTGGGTTGAAGGAGGTCTCGGCATTGGATTTAGATTTGGGTTTCTGCAAAGGACTTCGCCGAGCTCCGCACTGGGTCGCCATGCAATTGTGGTGCCCGCGGCTGGCCGTTGGCTTTGCCGAACATGGGTTCTTTGAGTACAGCGACATGCAAAGGTTGGATAGCCGGCTGGACCGGTTTACCACTTTGCCCATCCCGGGCCCATGCCTTTCCGTTTGCTTAGGGTCCGGGGGGGGAGGGAGGGGTGATAGATGACTTGTCCAAAGCAGGCTCGTGAAAAGGCAGCGCTAGCACTTCACACGGTGCCAGCTTTCGGTCTGCCCCCTGATATGGTGTGTGCGGGTGTGTGGCTGTAAGGTGTGTGTGTGTGTGGTGTGTGGCTGTAAGGTGTGTGTGTGTAAGTGTGTGTGTGTAAGTGTGCAAGTGTGCAAGTGTGTAAGTGTGTGTCTGCGCGGGTGTACGTTTGCATTTGCGTGGTGTGTGTGTGTGTGTGTGTCGAAGTGGAACTGACTCTCCACCTCCATGTGCTAGGAGGCTCCACGCATACACACCCATGTTGTTTTCTTTGGCCGGAGGCCATGCAGTTCTGGCTCCCAGGCTTCCGCCTTACATGGTGCTCTGTGCGGAGAGCAAAGACGACCCTGGCAGAGACCCTCAGAGGGATTCGGCTTAGGGGCCCGCGTGGAGGATCCGTTCACCGGAGGACCAGTATGTGTGTAGCATCCAGAACAGATGTCCTGAGCTTATTTTGGTTTGGGTCCTGGTCCATTTTGCAAGGTTTTGCAAGCGTGGCCTACAGGTTCTTGGCGAGCGGTTGGGCTTCATAGTCGTTTCCCCTGAGGATGTCTTGGAATAGGCTTGACTTGTTTAGACCCAAGATGGGTTGCCAAACTTGATGAAACAAGCAGTCCCAAAATGCCCTCTAAGGAAAGCCCCAAAAATGTTGTTGAAACAACAGAGGTTTAAACGTGAACCTCCGACCTCCGATCTCTTTCCATGCAGCGGGGCAACCTGTGCCGTTAGTTCCCAGCCATCATCGGCCTGCTGCCCAAAATCATTATGACATGGAGTCAACATGTGGGTGCTGGAGGGGGGGGGACCCTTGAGGCATCGCCAAGCGCGGTGCTGGGCGGAAGGGACGCCCCAAATACCTGAACAAAATGAGGGGGGGGTGATGTCAAGTTGAGATTTAAATGCCGCAGTATCAGAAGATGCCTGGACATCCGGGCACAACCGCTTGCGCGGTTTGCAGGTCAACACCTACCAAATCAACCAGCCAAAACTAAAGGCCGTTCTTAATTAATGTCCCATGGGCTGAACGGGCCCTCTTTGTTTTGCCACACGGCACGGTCCGCGCTTTCAGCACGCCAGGAGCGAACCCCCCCGGCCGCAAAATCAGCTTCACGGGCCAGTGCCGCCACGGCCTCGTTTGGGGGCAAACAAAAGAACGAAACACATATCTAAGTTGGAACTTGCCCCTCACGGAAAAATGGGATCAACCATTGAAACGGTCTTCCAAATTTTGGTGACTGTGAGTGTGGGGGGGCAGCGTCCAATGTCTCCGCCGCGCTGATTTCAGAGTCATTCAGGGTCCCTTTGAGTGTCCACTTCATTTGGAGGTTCAAGTCTATTTTGCAACCAACCCTGCTCAGTACACTGCACCCCGATTGGCGAACCTGTCATGAGATATTATGTGATGCCTTGGGGTTGAGAAAGAGTTATGAGAAGATACCTCCCTTGGTAAGCATTCGTCGTGTGTGAAGGGAGTGGCACGTGAGCGCTCACGTGTTGACCTTGGAAGCGGCTTGAGTGGCTGGTTGCTGTTATGCAAAATGCCCAAGTAACTTGTGGCACCTATTGCGCAGGAGTTGTCCCACGGGCCTTCTCCAGCACCTTAGCATTCGTTGTGTGTTCGAATATAGGAAAAAGGCAGTTGTTGGGGGTTGGCTTCTGGCAGAATTTCAATTTATATAGGCAATGAGCACCAGCAATTTCTGGGCTCCCCTCATTGTTTGACTGGGGAGTTCAGCCAAAAAATGACAGCCTTGAGTCCTGTCAAGGTGATCAAGTCCTGCCTGCGCTCTGTTCGCCACAGTGCTTGTGAATAATTGAGTACAGCCGCTTCCTGACCTGAGGACCAGTTTCTCCAAACATGCCAGTTTCCCCACCATCGTTTTGGTGCCTGTTTTACATTCATTAGTTATAAGGAGGGCCTGCAAGAGAAGGGCGTGCCGTTCCTTGCCTCGCCAGCGGGAAGTGCCGTTTTTCAGGGTCGGACTCTCCAAACAAGGACCAAAACCGCAAGGGTCGAACATTGGTACTGGGTCCTTTTGAAACTTGCTTCTTCCCGTTCCAGGGGCAGGGGCCGAACTTCAACCCTGGTCTTGGAATGACTGTGGGTGTTGGATGGCGAACCTTTCAGGTGTGGGCCACCGGGGTGCCGAGCAGATCGCCCTGGGGGACGTTGCCCGGGGCCCCAGATGTCTCAAGAGGAGCTTCAAGAAGCTCAGTGCGTGGCATCGACATGTGAGCTTAAAATCTTCATAACACCTTCACATATGAAACCGTATTTGCAGCTGCGGTTGGGCTTCTGGACTCGAGGCTTTGCTGCCATGTTCACAAAGCAACCCCTGGACATCCCAGCATCCCCGGATGAGCCAAAGCCTGCATTGCGAAGAGCACCGGAACGTGACGTGGACTCTGCCCGCTTTTCCTATTTCACAGAGCTAGAATGGTTGGTGCTAGTAGGTTGCCCCTTGCATACAGCTGGGGCGCTTTCGAGGGGCTCATTGCAAACACTCTTTCCGTCCGCGCTGTCTTTCTCACAAGTTGCCGACCGTGGCTTTCCCCCCGGTCTAACGTCCGCGCATAGGACTGGGCCCTGCTCAAGCAGGCCCTGCGCGGCGGCGTGCAGCGCGCCACCGGGTGGGTCCTGGAGCCCAGGTCCGCCGAGGCGGAGGCGGGGTTTTTCGAATGTGAATGGCAGGTGCCGAATGCCAGTTGTTTTTTCACATGCAATAGCTTGCATTGTGTCCCTGACTTTGAATGTTTGATTGTTTGCTTGCTTGCTTGTTTGTTTGCCTGTTTGCTTGTTTGTTTGCCTGTTTGCTTGTTTAGTTGCTTGTTTGCCCGTTATTTGTTTGTTTGCTTGCTTGTTTGTTTGTTTGGTTGGTTGTTTGCGTTTGTTTGGTTGCTAGTTTGTTTGCTTGGCTTGTTTGCTTGTTTGCTTCTTTGTTTGTTTTGTTGCCATCTTTGTGTTTGCTGGCTTGCTTGTTTGTTTGACTGTTTGCTTGTTTGCTTGTTTGCTTGTTTGATTGTTTGATTGCTTGCTTGCTTGCTTGCTTGCTTGTGTGCCGCTCGTTTGCTTGTTTGTTTGCTTGTTTGTTTGCTTGCTTGCTTGCTTGGCTTGTTTGCTGGCTTGCTTGTTCGTTTGGCTTTGTTTGTGTTTGTCTTTGCTTGTTTTCTCGTTTGCTTGTTTGCTAGCTTGCTTGTTTTGTTTGCTCTCTCGTTCGCTTGCTTGTTTGCTTGTTTGCTGGCTTGTTTGCTTGTTTGCTTGTTTGCTTGCTTGCTTGCTTGCTTGTTTTCTTGCTTGGTTGCTTACTTGTTTGCTTGTTCGTTTGCTTGCTTGTTTGCTTGCTTGGTTGCTTGCTTGTTTCTTGTTTGTTTGCTTGTTTGTTTGCTTGTTTTGTTTGCTCTCTCGTTCGCTTGCTTGTTTGCTTGTTTGCTTGTTTGCTTGCTTGGTTGCTTGTTTGCTTGCTTGGTTGCTTGTGTGGTTGCTTGCTTGCTTGTTTGTTTGTTTGGTTGCTTGCTTGTTTGTTTGTTTGCTTGCTTGCTTGCTTATTTTGTTTGCTCTCTTGGCTGGCTGGCTGGCTGGTTGGTTGGTTGGTTGGTTTGGCGGTTGGGCGGTTGGCTGGTTGGCTGGTTTGTTTGTCTGTTTGTTTGTTTGGTCCGTTGATCCCCTTCTCTCTAAGTGGTAAGTCCTGTCCCCATGATAGCTCTTTTGAAAAGATGTTAGGGATGGGTCCTGGGGCCTGCCAGGAGATTCCTTGTCCAGATTGGCCCGCACTGCACCTCAGAAATTTATAAATTGGCAACATCTGTTCACGGACCGCGGGGCCTTTCTTCAGCCATGGTTTTTCACAGAAGGACCCGGCAACACGCCTAACCCCCCTCCCTCCCCCCCCTCGTTTTTCTACGTCAAATGCGGTTTCCCATCCGCTTTCCAGGTTGCCTGCAAACGTGCAAACGTGTCTCTTGCGCAGCCCTGAGCCTTGGAGGTGCGGGTCGTGGCCTTTTTCGGGGACAACCACGTGGCGCTCGGGGTGGAGGCCGGGTGGGCCTCAGCCATGGAATCCGCAAAATGGGTGGCGTCAGTTGGTTTGGCTTGCAAAATGAACCCAGTAAAGGCCGGCCCCTTCAGCCAGCCCGGCTGGTGGTGCCATGTTGCCTGCCTTCAAAGAGGGCTGTCCCTCATCACTTGCTTGCTTTCCCATCACTTTTCGACCGAACAGGGAGCATTGACGCCCAACTGAGCAAGGAAGCACGCAACTGCAAGCATGCTATCTTGCCAGTGATGAAGGTTCGCCCAAAGTAGCAGAGACAGGCTTGCAGCATGTGCAGGACCCGTGACGTGTGTCTAAGTTGGCGGCCGGGGGGGGGGAGAACATGATTGCTTTCCTTCGGGCCGCTGGCCAAATCCCACCCCAAAAGGTGCCAACCTGCAGGTAAAGGAGGGCGAGACCCACCAAGCTCCATCGATCCTGTGGAGTCCAGGCCTCAGAAAGCTTGTTTTCCCGGTGGTTAGAATGAACACCACAGGTTGTCGGCTTCCATTGATGCCACTGGAGGTTCAGAAACTGCTTCTTGAGGTTCGTTGAGGCCACCACCCAATCGGGGTCATGTTTATTTAGGAAGCATCCCGTGCTGTTTGGGAATGGGGCAGCGGGGCCAGCGGTAAGCTATTGTCAAGGCGCGCGGGTTCATCAGAAGTGCACTCACCAGAGAATTCCTTCTCGTTGATTGGAAGGGTCCCTTCATGGACCCATGACCCGGATTCATCAGTTTGGTCGATGCGCAACCGCTGCAAAGGCTGCTGAAAGTGGGGGAATACCAAGGGCGGCGCGCTTGTAGCAAAGCCATGCTCAGCGGGTATTCTTCCAGTCTTCAGGTCGACTGCCGAGACCAGGCATGCAGACGAACATTGCTGGCGCCGGCGACTCGGGGGTCCCGTGCAGCGGATGGACCAATGCTGGGTGGCTTATCCCAGTATTCATCGGGCTGTTTTGCCACACCTGGGTGGATGAAGGTCAGCAAGGGAATTGGTGTGGCCGACTTTTGAGACTTTTCATTGGCTTGGGCGCACGCACCATTTTAGGTGCTAGACGGAGCCGCAGTCGCCTTGAAGGCTTCTCGTACCCGCAGCCTCAAGCAAGGACTTTTGCCGGAAGGCCGAGCTTTTGAAAGGTCTGGTTAGATCCGCTGGCTATTCTCCGGAAGCAACAAGTGCTGAATCCTGTTTTTCGTCGGCCGAAGCTCCGGAAAGCTGCGGAAAGCCGCGTAGATCCGATGGTTGGCCAGCTCTTGACCAGCTACCTCGAGCGCTGCGGCCTGGAGGCCGAGGATGTGCCCAAGGCGGGGCACACGGCTTCAGATGGGCGGTTTCCTGTTGTTTGATGTGTTGTTCGCGTGTTTTTGCATGTGCGTGTTTGTTTGCTTGCTTGCTTGCTTGTTTGATTGCGGTTGTGGTTTTGCGTTTTTGTGAGTGTGTTTGTTTGTTTTATTGATTGTTGCTTGGTTGGTTGGTTGGTTGGTTGGTTGGTTGGTTGGTTGGTTGGTTGGTTGGTTGGTTGGTTGGTTGGTTGGTTGGTTGGTTGGTTGGTTGGTTTGGTTGTTTGTGTCTATCTGTCTGTCTATCTTTATGTTTTTCTGTCTTTCTGTCGATCTATCTATCTATCTATCTACCTGTTTGTCTATCTATCTATCTATCTATCTACCTGTTTGTCTGTCTGTCTGTCTGTCGGTCGGTCGGTTTGTTTGTCTCTGTTTGTGTGTTTGTTTGTTTGTTTGTTTGTTTGTTTGTTCGTTTGTTTGTTTGTTTGTTTGTTTGTTTGTTTGTGTGTTCGTTCGTTCGTTGGTGCGTGTTTGTGTGTGTGTGTGCGCATGTGTGGTTGTTTGTTTGGGCTTGTTTGGTTTGTTGGGCTTGTTGGTTAGTTGGAAAATTAGTTTTTTTTTGATTGTTTGTTTTCTTGGTTTGTGGCCGTTCAACAAGTTGCCCCGACTAAGACAGAGATGTACTCAGGCATCATTGCTTTAATTGTCAGGCTTGAACGGCAACTTTGTACGGGGCTGGGGATGTTTCCTGGCGATGTGGTTTGGCACAATTGAGCGTGCTTCAAAATCCATTGCTTCAACCTCAACTCAATTTGTGCTTTCCCTTTTAAGAAGCCTTTTCCATTGTGGATTGTTGCGTGCTGGTCGGAACCCTGGAAAGGCGGCCTGATGAACCAAACTGCTCAACAGTTGTTGCCCCGTTCAATTTTGTCATATCGTTTTGTCCTGTAAAGCCAAACCTGCAAATCAGGGACCGGCCCCCAATGTCAATAAATGTGTTCCAGTTTGTACCGAAGGACAATCATGCATGGAGAATCTGAAAGGATCCCTTTTCCTCACCCAAGTAAGAGTGCCAACTGGGTCTTGTTTTGGAAGAACCGTTTTTGGTCGGTTTCAAAGGGTAGCCAAAGGGGAAACCCGAAACGCACTTTGGGGCTCAGTCATTTAGAAACGAAACAAACTTCTCCCCCCCCAATCCTCGCTTTCCGACTGCTCGTCTTGCACGGCTTCGCGTAGGTGGCCGCGGTTTTCCTCGGGGCCAAGTACTGCGCCTGGGCCACGTCCGTGGCGGTGGCGGTGAGGCGCGGGGGTTAGCGGGGCTTTCGGTTGCACCTGTGATGCCAAGGGGATCCCAGTGAAATCATGAGCTTTTTGAGAATCACAGGAGGCTCCCTCAAGTATCACTGGGAAATGAGCCACTTTGGCATAGCAAGAGGCCATAAAATCCAAAGTATCATAGCTTTGAGGCCCATTTTCGGCCATGCTGGTTAGGTACCAGCCCCTGCGCCGGGTGTTCCTGTCGCGAAGGGAGGCGCTCGCTGCAGGCAACCGGCCGTTCTCCGACGCCTGGAAAGATCCGGAAAGAGAAACCGCCAAGGGAAGTGAACTTACTTTGGTGCCTTTGAAGGTTGCCCTGCAAAGGGAGACGAAGAAAACATCAAGTCAAAAGGGTTTCCTCCATGTGGGTACAAAGTCAGCTGGATGTTCCTTGGGAAGGTACTTTTTTGAGACATCACATTTTGGAGGTGAAAAGTCATGGAGCTTCAGAACCCTGCAAGCAAGCCTGGTTTGAACAAGTTGCGGTGGACCCGGCAAAGGGACATCTAGAGAACGTGAGGGTTTTGAGCATCATTTTCTTTTGACCTATGTGATATTTAAACCCGAAATCTATGGAGCCCTCAACTAGCCCCACGAGACGGATGGCGCAAAAACCGCAAAAGACACTGATTCATACTTTGGGCAAATTAGTTGATTCCGATCTTGCCAACCGCTGAAGGTTGAGATACCTGCTGTTCAGATATGATGGTGGTTTCCAATTTGTTCCTCATAGGGGCTGGGTGGCTTATGATTCAGACACATGTCAAAACCAACAAGCTGCCATCGATGGAGTCGCAGATTGGAGCATTCAAAGGGGGTCCGGGGCCCATCTGATGCCTTGAGGGGGTCCCCGTTGCCAAGTATCAACTCTATCCAGTTGTGCCCATTTGCTGCATTACGTCTTTATGTTAAGACACACATTCGGTTTTGGGTTTTGACAAGAACTCAATACGATGCCATTGTGAAAGTGATCGACTATTTGGAGAAATTGTAGTTTGAAGGGAAGCCGCCCGCTTTGCTAGCATTGGTGCCTGGAAGCAATGCAACTTACAGGCCCAGCTCTGAAACGCGCATTCTGAGTTTCGACGCCCATCGCCAAAGATCAACACTATTCCCCCCCGACGCCTGTGATGACTTTAAATTCAACAGACTTTCCGTTGGGCAGGGTGGTGTTTCACATTGGTTGCACAAGTGCTGTTGAACCCTACAACTCTTCATCAACGGCACCTAGGTTTTCAACCACATTCAACCCCGTGAGTGGCTTTACACCAAGCCTTTTGCATCCTTTCCACCTCCCCCCGCCCCGCCCCTCAAGGAACGGAAGCGGCTGTGGCTGGTGGAGGCGTTGGCCAGGCAGAGAGAGCGGTCCCAAGTGCTGGGCGGGCGTGCCCGCGACGCGCGGGACGCCCTGGCCACGCGCGCGGAAAGGCTGAAGAAGGTTCCCAGCAGGGTGCGGAAGGCGACGGGGACCTCCAGGGTTGGGCCAGCCCTGTACATCTTTGCACATGTTTGGATACAGACAGTTCCAACATCCTCTTTGTTTGGTTCGCCCCAATCAATGTATAGGGAGGGGGGTCCACATATGCCGGGCCCCTTTTGTGCAACTCCTGTGGTTTCCCTTGATGAGAAAATGGAGCATCTTGTATGTCGGGATCCCAACAGAGACGGTCTGCCAGGGGCCTCCAGTTTCAATGTAGGAGGATCATACATTCCCTTTGTTGGGTGACCAGGAACTGGGTCCTCCAGAGGGACCCCCTTGAGGGTGTCAGCAATCGGCATCACAGCCGCAACAGGCGAGCAGGTTGCATTGACATGAGCTTTGGACAAGCGAGTGATGGCTTGTCAAGGGCGCAGCACCCGGAAGAAAGCTGTCGGGTTGACCCATTCAGGCACATCAAATTTGGGATTCCTTTTCGGTTTCGTTTGTGCTGAGCAAGTGGGCAAGTGACTGAGCAGCGAGGGGGTGTCACTCTGTTCCACACAAGCTTTTGTTGGCGTAGGTGTTTTGAATAGCTGCAACAAGCAGACCGGAGCTTCCTAGAAAAGAGGAGGCGCAACAAAAAAGAAGGTTGGTTTTCTTCCTTGGTTTCTGCCTGGCCATCCAAAAAGGCGGCTTTCCAGTTGCGGCAGTTTAGGGCACTCCCGCCTCGCGTCTCGAGCGGCTTTTGTGGGGAGCCCACCCCACCTTTGGGTTGGTGAGTCTTGGGTCACGGCTCCACTTGCGTCGGTTCACTCGCTCGAGTCGTCGAGGGCTGTGAGCTGGCGCTGGCGAGCTGCCAGCAGCGGTATCGGGCGGCCAGCTACCGCTGGAAGCTCGCGGGCTGGCAGCTGCTACGCACCGTGGACCGCCAGAAGCTCCTGGCGCCTCGGCCGCCTCGGCCGCGAGAGAGGGTGGACCCGAACTCAGATTCATAGGCTTGGAGATCAGGCGGATCTCGCAGGTGCTGAAGGCCGATGGGGGTGCTAGCGAAAGGGGGCCTCCCATCCATGCAAGCTTGGATCTCTCACAGCTAGTTTCTCACCACTTTGTTTGGCCTGTTTGGCGTCCCCAGCATTTCCGTTCCCCACAAGTTGCCTTACAGCCTCAATTCTCACATGGGGCGCTTGCGGAAGGCCGCTCGCCACAGCAAACTTCTGCCTAAGGTTGCGGCCGATCGCCCGGCCAAGCGGCTGCCCATCACCTGGTACAGCTGGACCTCCATGAAGCTTGCCCGAGAGCTCCACTTCGTCCCTCCCCCCCTGTGGTCCAGAAAGCGAGAGGCCAGCACCAGGTGTGGGGTGGGGGGTTTATATATAGGCAAGGGATTCTCTTCGACCTCTTGGTGGTAAATGCTCAGAACTTTGGCCAAAGCACAAAAGGCGAGCCAACTCATGAATGAGGGATGCAGCCACTAAACAGGTGCCCCAGAGACGCGTGACTCATCGGAGCGTTTCTTGACCCAGGCCCGACATGTAGCGGGCAAGCGGGTGGAAGCAGACGGGAAGGCGAGAAGACAGCCCCTCCTGCTCTCTATCTACTTCTCTCTTTTTCTTTATCACTCTCTCTCTCTCTCTCTCTCTTTCTGTCTTTCTTTCTGTATTTCTTTATTTCTTGCTTTATTTCTTTCTTTCTTTCTTTCTTTCTCTTTCTCTTTCTCTTTCTCTTTCTCTTTCTCTCTCTCTCTCTCTTTCTTTATCTCTCTTTCTTTATCTCTCTTTTTTTCTCTCTCTTTGTTTCTTTGTTTTTCTGCCTTTCCCTTTCTCTTTTGCTCTTTTTCTCGTTTGCTCTCTTGCTCTCTTGCTCTCTTTCTCTCTTTCTCTTTCTCTCTTTTGCTCTCTTTCTCTCTCTCTCTCTTTTTCTCTTTTTCTCTCTTTCTCTCTCCCTCTCTCTCTCTCTCTTTCTCTCTTTTTCTCTCCTTCTCTCTCTCTCTATCTTTTTTTCTTTGTCTCTCTCTCTTTTTCTCTTTTTCTCTCTCTCTCTCTCTTTCTCTCTTTTTCTCTCCTTCTCTCCTTCTCTCTTTTTCTCTTTTACTCTCTTTTTCTCTCCTTCGCTCTCTATCTTTTTTTTTCTTTGTCTCTCTCTCTCTTTTTCTCTTTCTCTCTTTTTCTCTTTCTCTCTTTTTCTCTTTCTCTCTTTTTCTCTTTCTCTCTTTATTTTTTCTCTCTTTCTTTCTTTTGTCTTTTCTCTTGTTCTCTTTTTCTCTCTTTCTCTCTTTGTCTTGCGCTCTTCCTGTCTTTCTCTATTATTTGCCTCTTCCTCATCTTTCTCTCCTTTTCTCTCTTTCTCTCTTTCTCTCCTTTTCTCTCTTCCTCTCTTTCTTATTCTCTCTTTCTCTCTTCCTTCTTTGCTCTCTTTCTCTTTTGTTCTCTTTCTCTCTTTCTCTTGCGCTCTTCCTGTCTTTCTCACTCTATTATTTGCCTCTTCCTCATTTCTCTCTTTCTCTCTTTTCTGTCTTTCACGTTTTTTGTCTTTCTTGTTGGTTTTGGGTTGGGTTTTTGTGAAGCTCAATCCACAAATCCTCCGTTTTTCTCACCAAGTTCAGCCCACCGAGTATTCTTAAGTTGTCGGAGACTTAGACCAACAAATCCTCTTGGAATCTGTCCAAGCCCAATTTTGGGGTGTGTGGTCGTCAGCCGGGGTGGCCTGATAAGCAGCTTGAGAAGGCAGGGGCTGTTTGGAGCACCGCTGCTGGCAACTAAAACAAACATCACCTACTGGCTGGTGGCAAGGACGGAAAGCAAGGCGTGGGCGACACATCAAACGCTATGGTTTTGGCCTATGCTTCGCCAGGATTCCAAAACATACGCACGTCAAAAGTACCAAGCATGTCTGAAAGCTGACTGTCTGCATAGTAATTTCCATACAGGATCACCCCCCCTTTGTAGCACATCAGTTGTTCGGCGGGGTGATCTTTGGGCAAGTAAAAGTAGGGCAAGCGAGCAATACGTTGTCCCTGTTCGTTTGCTTTGTTCTTTAGTTGTTCCCACTTCTAGTCAGCCTTCCAAAAGCCCAACCTTTCATGTATAGGCCCTTTAGCTTGCAAGATCTTACTAGAGGTTCCCGGTTGCTTGACAAGCTGGTGGGCTTCGGGTTTCGTCGGACTTTTCCAGGTGCAAGAGGTGAACTTTACAGACTTTGCACTTTCAAGTTGAATTGCACAGGTGTCCCCGTGAGTCTGGTTGAACATTGGATTCCACTGGTTTCATTCGGTTCCAACCATCTCCCATTCACTTTGCCAACTGGACGCCTAGGTTCCCATGGTTGCCCATGTTTGGACAGAGAATATTTTTCCAACGGACACCTATGTTGATTTAGCCTCCCTGAAGATCATGGAAGCTCATAGGAGGGTTCTGGAAGACTAGTGTTCTTGTGTACTTCCATGATTGCTAGAAAGAGGTGTGCCAATGCTTTTGCGAGGGCTTCCAGACAGATTCCACGTTGGCAGGTGTGAGGGTACATTGTGCACCAGGATTTGTTTGTGCTAAATTTAGAGGCCCTCCAACGAAGTATCTGGAGACTAGCCCTATGTTGGGAGGAATGCCTCCATGTGATCTGTGGCTTTTCTGGGGTTTACCCACTGGTTTCGCGTTTCACGCTACCAAGCACAAAGCAGCCCTTTGTCCCGTGACTGCGGGGAACCAACCATGGGCGCGCAACGACCAAGAAAGGTTCATAGAACCAGGGTGGATCTTGGAAGGTTTCTGGGAACCAGGCGCCCCATGGGGAGTCCTACAAGCCCTTTGATGGAAGTTGGAGGTCTGGGCCTCATTTTGCTGAGGAAGTACTGGCAGCTCAGCGACAAGCTGCAGGCCTCTGCGGGTTCCAGCCGAGTGTGGGGCCACTTGACAAGGACGGCGCTCGCTCAAGTTGGCAACGGTGCAAAGGGTTGGGCACACCCAACCTGTTAGATTTCAACAGGTGGCTCCCACGTCTTAAAGGGCACCAGCCACCTTGTTGTTCTCGGGAAACAAGGAGGATCCACAGTGGCAAAAATGGAAACCAGAAGGACATCGTTGCCATTTTGGGGTTGCCCGCGTTCGCGCAGCAGGACACTGAATTTGAACCCCCGGGGCCTCGCCTTGGGGTTGGCGGAGGGCACCATTTTGTTCAAGTTCACCGTCCCCATCCTCATGCCGCTGATGCTTTTCGCCATCGTCAGCCTCTTCCGCCGGAACCACTGGGTCTCTGCCCAGGAGCAGGCGGGAAGGGGTCAAGTGCAGAAAGCGCCGTTTCAGCCGCCCCAAACAAGAGGGATCGAGACTTGTATTTGCCACAGTGCGAGGAACGCTCTGTTTTCTCATGTTCCTTGGATTTGCTGGCGCGTGTCCTTAAGCACTTACATGTCTCTTGCCCACCAAATGCACTGGCTGCGAAGGCGCGCGGGAATGTGGCTGACATGATGGATGCGCGAGGGGGCCTAACATCTGCCAGTGCAGCTGCAAGGGACGTGGACTCCCTCGTGGGCTGGGGTTGGACGTGGACCGTTGAGTGACTTGAACCTTTCCTGGGTTGTCCAAAATCAATCCTTAGTTCTTTTGCCAGATGGTAGGCTAGCTAGTGAGTTCCCTTGTAGCGGGGTTGATCGCATTTTGAACAACCTAGCTTTCTAGTTAGTTTTCACAGTTTTGGGCCACACTCGCCCCATGTCGAGTTTCGAGCCCGGAGACGGGCCGCAAACACGGCACCGCTTGAGGCACAATCCTGGTTTCACCCTCGATCGGGGCAAACGCACGCAACCACGCTTGGTGGTTTTGTTTTGCCCGCGCCGGCATTCAAGTGGCTGTACTGAGCTCGCTTTACAGGAGGAAGTGCCTGCCAGCTCATGAGTGGCTGGAACAGTCCGACACTAGCCAACTCCAAAGCCAATGGAAAAAGTGAGAAGCGTCTCCGGCCGTCAGCACCGGCTGGTTTTATGTTTGTGCAAAGGGCCGGGGGGTTGGCAATCCTCCCCTCATGGCCATTTTGGGGAAGTGGGGGGGGTGTTGGAATCCTAAAGGATCCTAAGGCTTCGAGCTTCAGGGTTGCAAGTATCTTCAACCTCCATCCAGATAATTCAGCCCTGACCGGGGTTCGACGCCATTGTTCTTGTCGTAGCCGTCGCTGTGTTTGTGTTTCAGAGTTGGGTGCTGTTGGTTGTTGGCGGCTGCTGGTTATTGTTGTTGTGCTTGTCGTTGATCATTTGTGCTGCGGTTGTTGGCGAGGTTGCTGGTGGAGTTGGTAAACATTGGCGAGGATGCTGGTGGATGTTGGTGCTTGCTGGTCATCACCGGTTGTTCTTGGTGGTTCAGTGTTGTCGCTGTTGGACTCTTCCACCCTTCCACCCTTCCACCTAGCTGAGGCAATGGCCGCTTTAGCCGCGGAGGCCGTGGTCGGCACCTCAACGGAGCTGATGGATTTGCCAAGTATGCCCCAGACATTTCTGGCATTGGACAAAAAATGGGATTCATGCAGAGGCTTCAGGGTTTTGCCGATTTCCAGTGCCATGTTTTGGGGTCATCCGTTTCTGTTAAGAAGTCTAAAGGACTCAGAGTCTCCAGGACCCCAACCTTTGTGGCCAACTCAGGTGGGAGATACCCACGCGGGGGAGTCCATTGTGGCCGGCCCGGCCTGTCCAGATCTGCATGCCTCCCCGGGCGGCTTTTGCGTGACAGGTCGATCCCACCTGCGGCATGGGTACGCTGCTGCTGGCGCCGCGGTTGCAAATATGCACCCCGGATGAATCAACCCGCCGGATTCTTGGCGGGGTCCCCTTTACTAGTCGTTAGTAATCATTTGAGATTGATTAATCCTGGGTACCCCTGCCAGCCTAGCTGGCTAGCCCTGCCCTGTTGGCTCCCTCAAGTTTCTTGTTTCTTTTCGCAGGAGGCAAAATGCCCACCTAGATTGGGCTTTGAGGGTGTTTGTTTGGTCTAGCTGTTGGAGTTTTGTGGCTTTGTGGGTGGATTGCGTGAGATCTTGCGAGGGTGTGAAGAGTTTGCCTTGCTCGAAAAAGAAAGAAAGAAGAGAAGATATTAAACTGAATCTGAGGCTCATGTTTCCGGGGTTTCCATTGTTCCAGGAGACCCCCCTGATTCACAACTAGGACATTCATTGATTCACATCCGTGGGGTTGAATCGGAGGAGTTAATGCTAGCACCATGTAGCGCCGGCTGCTTTAGCAGTGAGGCGGCAGCCCGCGCTTGGCCGCAAGTTTGCAGCTCCGGCGTGATTCAGCTCACCCTATGCTGGCTTGGGGCTTGCTGGTTTCCCACGTTAAAGTGTCCTGCCATGGGTTTCCCCCAATACAGAGCCGCCCCAGAGGTCTAGGTTGGGACCATCCCAATAAGCCTGTGGCTAGGGGGGGGCGGTTCAACCAGATGTACTGATAGGTTCAAGGCCACTGAAATCTGGGGGCTATTGCTCTATATGCCCAGGAAATTTGTTTCTTTTTTGTTTTGTTTTAATAACTTTATTTTAAACGAAATTCCATCGCGGTACGTATGGATCACGGCAACAACAACAGCAACAGCAGCAAGAGCAAGAGCAACAGCAACAACAGCAGCAGCAACGACAGCAGCACCATCAGCAGCAACAACAGCAACGGCAACAACAACAACAACAACAAGAACAAGAACAAGAACAATAACAAGAACAAGAACAAGAACAAGAACAAGAACAAGAACAAGAACAAGAACAAGAACAACAACAGCAACAAGTAACAAGCAACAAGCAACAAGCACCAAGCACCAAGCAACAACAACAACAACAACAACAGCAGCAACAACAACAACAACAACACCAACAGCAAAAACAACAACAACAACAACAACAACAACAACAACAACAACAACAAGAACAACAACAACAACAACAACAACAACAACAACAACAACAACAACAACAACAACAACAACAACAACAACAACAACAACAACAACAACAACAACAACAACAACAACAACAACAACAACAACAACAACAACAACAACAACAACAACAACAACAACAACAACAACAACAACAACAACAACAACAACAACAACAACAACAACAACAACAACAACAACAACAACAACAACAACAACAACAACAACAACAACAACAACAACAACAACAACAACAACAACAACAACAACAACAACAACAACAACAACAACAACAACAACAACAACAACAACAACAACAACAACAACAACAACAACAACAACAACAACAACAACAACAACAACAACAACAACAACAACAACAACAACAACAACAACAACAACAACAACAACAACAACAACAACAACAACAACAACAACAACAACAACAACAACAAAAAGCAACAAACAACAACACCAGACAACAAAAGACAACAACAAACAACAAAACGCTTCGATGGGCTCTCACCGCGCGGTTTTTCGGTCCAGAGTTTTCTGTCTGTTCAATGCGTCTTGGGGTTTTTACGCCCACAGACGCTGCTTGTTTTCATCGATGTTCAATTATGCCCTTGGGGCAATGATGATAATGTGTGCGTGAACGTGGATGCTGATCAAGTGGCAGGCATGCACGCAATGATGATAATGTGTGCGTGAACGCGGATGCTGAGCATGTGGCAGGCATGCACGCAACGATGATAATGTGTGCGTGAACGTGGGCGCTGATCATGTGGCAGGCATGCACGCAATGATGATAATGCGTGCGTGAACGTGGATGCTGATCATGTGGCAGACATGCACGCAACGATGATAATGTGTGCGTGAACGTGGATGCTGATCATGTGGCAGGCATGCACGCAACGATGATAATGTGCGCGTGAACGTGGATGCTGATCATGTGGCAGTGCATGCGCGCATGCACGCAACGATGATAATGTGTGCAATGATGATAATGTGTGCGTGAACGTGGATGCTGATCATGTGGCAGGCACGCACGCAATGATGATAATGTGTGCAATGATGATAATGTGTGCATGCACGCAATGATGATAATGCGTGCGTCAATGTGGGTGCTTATCATGTGGCAGGCGTGCGCTCAGTCATGAAAGTGTGCCCGTGAACGCAACATACGCCCACTGCTCCAAACCCGCGCGCAGGTCGTCAAAAATGGCCCTGAAACCCTTGTTTACAGTGGGAAACGAAACGCGAAAAGCGCGCGGAAACACCCCATCGGAGGGAACAACAAACAACAACAAAAAAGGAACCAACAACAAACAACCAACAACCAACAGCCAACAACCAACAACTAAACAACTAAACAACTAAACAACTAAACAACTAAACAACCAAACAACCAACAACCAACAACCAACCAACAACCAACCAACAACCAACAACCAACAACCAACAACAACAACAACAACAGCAGCAACAACAACAACAACAACCACAACAACAACAACAACAACAACAACAGCAGCAGCAGCAGCAACAACAACAACACCAAGACCAAGACCAAGACCAAGACCAACACCAGCACCAACACCAACACCAACACCAACACCACCGCCACCACCACCACCAACAACAACAGCAACAACCACAACAACCACAACAACCACAACAACCACAACAACCACAACAACCACAACAACCACACCAACCACAACAACCACAACAACCACAACGACCCACCAACAGCAGCAGCAGCAGCAGCAGCAGCAGCAGCAGCAGCGCAGCAGCAGCAGCAATACCAATAGCAATAGTAATAGTAACAGCAACAGCAACAGCAACACCCGCAGCCGCAGCCGCAACCGCAACCGCAACTGCAACCGCAATGCAACCGCAATTGCAACCGCGACCGCGACCGCAACCGCAACCGCAACCGCAGCCGCAACCGCAACCGCCACCGCGAAGGCGACCGCGACCGCAAACGCAAACGCAAACGCAACCACAACCACAACCACAACCTCAACCACAACCACAACCACAACCGCAACCGCAACCACACCCACCACCACAACCACCACCACCACCACGACCACGCCCACGACCACGACTACGACCGCGACAAAGAAGGACAAGGACAAGGACAAGGACAACGACAACGACAACGACAACTGCCACGACACCCACCACGACAACCACTACGACAACCACGACAACCACGACCACGACCGCGAACACGACAACGATCACGACCACCACCACGACCATGGCGACGACGACGATGACGACGACGAGGGCGGCGACGAAAACGACAACGACAACGACAACGACAACGACAACGACAACGACAGCGACAGCGACAGCGACAGCAACAGCAACAGCAACAGCAACAACAACAACAACAGCAACAGCAACAACAACAACAACAACAACAACAACAACAACAATAACAGCAACAGCAACAGCAGCAGCAGCAGCAGCAGCAGCAGCAGCAGCAGCAGCAGCAGCAGCAGCAGCAGCAGCAGCAGCAGCAGCAGCAGCATTAGCAGCAGCAGCAGCAGGAGCAGCAGGAGCAACAGCAACAGCAACAGCAACAGCGGCAGCGGCAGCAGCAGCAACAATTCCAGCAGCAGCAGCAGCAACAGCAGCAGCAGCAACGACCACAGCAATGCAGCAATGGTGGTGGACAGGAATACATGGACCTTCTGAAGCCCTGGTCCGCGTGGATATGTGAAATAGGGGCAGCGTCGGCTCTGGTGGCTTGGCTTCGGCCAGGCTCGAGACCTTTGCGCCTGGTCGGCAGCCAGCTCAGGGCCAGCGTGCGTCAAACCTCACGACTTTGTTCTGGGATGGATCTTCAAAGGTGAAGAAGGAAGTCCCTTTTGGGGGCATCCCACAGTCCATAGTATCCACTTGTTGCCTGGGTCATGTTTGCTTGCTCATCCAGCGTTCCTTCCTGTTTGGACCAAATTTCGGCAACCAGGATCAGCTATTACCACCCCCAAGCTGATCTCTGGTACAGCCGCTGAGCAAGTCTTGCAAGTAGAGGAAATGCATAAACTTGATCTGGTTGGTTTACTGGTCGCAGGACATCAAGCATTGCTTTTTTTGGTTCGGGGAACCCCCATGTTAATTTGTTGAAAGGGAAGCCAGCAAAAGCCAGAAGGAACCGGCCGTTTGTGTGATATCCCAGTGTTACCCCTGAATCCCTGCAACCAGGGTTAGCCAAACGTTGTTTGTGCAGTCGCCGGCTTCCTTGAAAATGAAACCCGCACCGCAGGAGATCGCTAGAACAAGAATAAGTTTTTTTTTTCACGCAAAGGGTTGGCCCATCCCGCCACAGCCGGTGAGGCCGGGAGGCGGACCCTGGCCAGCTGCAGCCGGGGCCTTGCCCGGCGATGGATGATAGCCACATGTCGGGTTTTTAGCGGAACCGAAGGAACTGAATTTCGATTAGCTGAGGAAGGCAATCGTTTGGGCAAAGGTCTGGGCGGGGGTTTATGGAGGGTTCCACGTATGTGAAAAAGAGAAAAAGGGCCACTCCACTGATCCCTAGGAACTGCATGTCCAACTTTGTCGCCTGCCAGCTGGACGCGTCTGGCCCTGATCAACCTGCACTACGCACATGCTACGGTTGAAGCAGTTCACTCGGACTTGGTGATGGGCATCGTTTGGAGGAATTGCTGGTAATGCCACCAGGTAGGTAGCCCCTGATTCTTGGGACTCACAGAAGAACCCGACAAGAGAGTAACTCCCTTGGGGGAACAATATTTTCTTCTGGTGAGTCAGTTCGGATTCGCACGTGCAGCGTACACAAGCCCATTTTGCTGCAGCGATGAGTCGTGCCTAAGACTAGCACTTGAGAAACTACATCTAAGCTTCCAAGGCCTTGGCGTTAGCGCTAACATCAGCATATCGAATCCAGATAGATGGGTTCTGCTTCAAAGCCCGGCCATTCCCAGTTCGGTGGGGCCCTTTGCTCGGAAGGTCGGATATACGACTTGGCGACGGCAGGGTTGCGAGCCCAGCGCAGGGACATTATCCAATGAGGAGCTGAGCTGTTGGGTTTCTCAGTTTGGCCTATTCTCAGTCAGGGTTTGAAATGGTCAGCTTCAGGTTGGGCGAAGTGAGTTGTAGGCTCGAACAAAACCAGGAGCAACATGAAACAAACATTGCATGTTTGTTGATCATCGGCTCTCTGACCCGCCCAATGTGCGACTCCAAGATTCGGAAGGCGCCCACATCCCACAAACACCCCCAAACCCCATTGGTTTTCCCAAAAGCAATCGAAAGCCCGAAGCTAGGTGAAAATTGTAAAATTGGAAAGGCCAAGGGCCAGGAGGCAAAGCGGTTCGAACGGGGTGGTCTCAGTGGTCTCCGGAGGGTGCCGCCGCCTTCGCGGACCTCGCGGATGGCTCCGCCAGGAGCTCGGCGGAAGGAGCGAGCCACTTTCGCTTTCGCTTTGGAATCCAGCCTGGTTGAGACATTTGTAAGTGCTGCACTTCACGTCCAGGTTCTTGGAATTTGTCAGCCGGGGGCAAAAAGCCCGCAGACAAGCAGTGTTTGAGGGGCAGGCATGTCAAGGGACCTCCACCTTTGGGGAACGCTGAAGATCAAGTTTTCTGCCCAGGGATGTGTAAACAGGTGGCTTATGTTCTCGCAGTCTAGAAGGTTAAACAACAAGATTATCCGCAAGTCATATTCGTCAAGAACACGACTTGGGTCGGTTCAAATAAAATGCCAGCCGCTTTTCATATTCTTGTGGAAGGCATTGCTGGGGGTGTTCATGAATTTGTTTGGCTGGTTGGAGTTAACCTTCATTTGTGGCTGTTTGCGTGCAAACTGCGGTTGTTTGTGAGCAAATAGCAGCCATTGTGCGAGGAATCTACGGCTGTTTGCACGCAATTCACGGCTGCTTGCGGGAAAGTTAGATGCTGTTCGCGCAGCACTTTTCTCGCTTGCCAATCAACAATAATATTCTTGTGATCCACATCTCCACGCATAGGCTGGGCCTATGACTGCACGAGTAGCAGACTTGTAGACCCCTGTCCACCTCAGTCACTGGCATGCTTTTTGCCGACTCGATGCCTGACTGAATGGTCAATGCCAAGCAGAATGTATTGCGACCCTCACAACCTAACTATGCAAGGGGGGCCCCCGGACACTCAACAAGGGTGGTGGGCGGGGGGGGGGGGGAGGCATTGTCCCAGTTTGAGATAGAGATGCGTTGCGCATTGATGCACTTGGTAACGTTAAGCAACGGCTACTCCTGACTTAGGGCCTTTACTGTGGGCCTGTGTGCGCGGGCCTTTCATCTTGGTAGAGCGGAAGCTATCTGCGCTTTCGCCACTCGCTTGTTTCAGGTCATGCCCCGCCTTTGCTAGCTGTCTTGTCTTTTCAGGTCATGCCCTGCCTTTGCAATTTGCAGGTCTGTGGGTTCAGAAGAGTTTTCAGGGTGGGGTGGGGGCTTTCTTTTGAGAAGGTCGCAAATACTCCATAAGCCTTTAATTTGTGGGTTGGGTGCAAGCTCACTGATGTTGTTGGATGTGCTGCCAGACGCTCAGTTCAAGGTGGACGCGCTGCTTTGTGATTTGCCCAGTGGCGTGGTTCACAAGGCGTGCGGAACACTGCACTTAGCGAAACAACTCCGGCACCCTGGATCACGACAAATGGTTGGTTGCCTGTAGCGAGTGAATGAGCAAAGTCGCAACTTAGCCTTTTTGCTACATGGTGTGTTTTTGCTTTAGGTGGAACCCCCCCAAAAAAGAAAAGAAAGAGAACAAAAGACAAGATGGCTTCCCCCCACTTGCAGACAACGTTGCGTGCCACTAATACATTGTCGAAGATCACCCTTTAGGTTCCCAATTTCATTCGCGCACTTGCTGCTTGAGGCAGGGCATCTTCGGAACCGCTGTGCCACTCCTGGTTGAGTAAACAAAGGTTGAATCGTTTGACGAGGCCTCTGCCACGGGCAGGTCTAAAGCGAAGATCAAGCAGAACATGAACATCTAGCAGTGGAGTCTCCTCAACACCCCCTCCCCCCCACCAAGAATTCCCAAGCCAAGCATGGCACAGCACTTGGGGAGAGGGCGGTTCCGGGAGTGCAGGCGAGCTCAGACTTCAAGCGCCCGGCTTAGTCGGGACCCTCCAAACCATGGCAGGCTTGAAGGTTTGACACATGCCCAAGCACCGCTCCACATCGACATTGCCACTTGGGCCATTGCAATCAGGTCATACTCGGCTTTCCTGCAGCTGGCGGAGCGCATTGTAAGGCACGGCTTGGAAGCTTGGAATGAAGCTGGCAACAGGGAACCTCAACTTGTGGACTCAGAAGCCAAGATCTTCTGTTTCAACTAGGAGGTGGCCAAAAAGAAAAGGTATCCGGACATGAAATCCCGGCTTGCGGATAGATTGGCCTTTCCCGGGCTCGACGCATTTCAAAGGTCGTCAAGCCTCACGAAGCCTGAGGCAATACTCTCGTGTTGGGTATGCGTCAAAATAAAGAGCCATTATGCAAGGTTGTGTCACATTAGTTTCATCTTAAGTTGATATTTTAAGGCACGCCCCCTATCTTTGGCACAGTTGGCTGTACAAATCAGGCCGGGCGGGCGCTGCATCTTGCTCTCTGAGAGGCATGATGTCTTGAGGAGGAGATTTGTTGCCGGTGTCAGTCAAACTTCCTTTCAATTGGTTTGCTTCTCCCAAATTAGAAACAAGGTTTCTCTACAAATAAAGGGTGAGAGTTGGGCCCCATGTCGACCTACAGGAGTAAAAATTCTAGTCAAGGTGTCAAACGGATAGCTTTGCTCGACAACCGGAGAGGAGCATGAAGCATGAGCACGGTCCAATCCAAGCACCGAAAGGAAACTGCCCTTGACATGACGCAGAGGGGGTTCAATCATTTGTGATGGCATTTCACCCGGGATGCCGGAAGGACGATCTCCGACTCGTGGAAGGAGGTGGCCTCATATGTCCTCGGCCGTGGTGAGGCGGAGGGATCCTTTGTTTGGGGAGGGCAGAGTCCTTGGCAGTTGCCCCCACCAATCAGATTTGTCGGGGAACATGGCTATTTTGACACAGGATTAATAAGCCCAAGGGTCCTTAAATTTTGGAGAAAACACCGCTCTGAAACTGCCAGAACCCGGGGTCAACATTCATGAAGCTTAGTGAAAGCTCAAAATACTTCTGCGCCACAGACAACTGAATTCGTGAATCCTGGGAAGCCGCGGCCATTGAACTGGCCGCTCAGCTGTGACTCACGCGAGGGCGTGTCTCGCCTGGAGGCGAACCGCTTGCAGTTCCTCCTGGTGGCCCTTGAGAGAGGCAAGCGCAGTCTGGGTGTGTCCTAAGCTGGGCCGTTGCCATTGGATGGTTCTGTGACAGCTGGCCGTCAGCAAGGCAAAACTCGGGAGCTCCATCCGCGTGCTTGATATGCAGCTGGTTCTTTGAGAAAGGATGCTACCAGCACGTTCAACGGACGCTCCATTCGCATTCCCAATCATGGAAGGCAGGTCATACCTTTCTTCAGTGTTGGTGCCTGCACTTGCCAGATGCCCAGCACATCTCAGCACCTTTGGTAACTCTACTTCAAGGGGTGACCTTCGAATCACACTCCAAGAATCGTCGCCAAGGATTCTGAAATGAAAGGTCCATTGCAGCTGTGGCTCAAGACGATCGGTTTTGGAGCCATGCGCCGGCGAAAGATCGTCTCGTACGTGGTGTGTTTAGCAGCAGCGAGCTCTACACTACGTTCCAGCAGGGGCCTGATCGGCGGGATTGCAGGTGACATGCTTTCACTAGCTTAAAGCTTGCGCAAGAAGCGAGATGGACCCCCAGAATGCTTTCCTTCGGTGTTCCCGCAGTACGACCCCAAAAGGTACTTTCAAAAAAGCACGGCCCGCATTGGAGTTGTTAGGTGTTGCAAGCAATGCTGGCCCCGCATTGATACCTCCGACGGACAAAGAGGGTGGCATGCCCCCGAGGCTAAAGCCTTCCTCCTCCGATGGGACATGCCGCATCAATCAACCGGGGTTCAGTCAATCCTGGGTTGCCAGTAATTAGGTTCCTGCAGTGGTACAGGGTCTGTCAGGAAGAGGCTAGTCACTTGTTCTTTGCGCACGTATGCGCTCCCCTGCTGATCTTGTGTGACTTCTTTTCAACATCGTTTATTGACCCGGTTCAAGCACATGACAGACTGAAACTTATATAAAACTACTGTTTTATCGGAGCCGGTTAATTGTTCAACCTGACAAATTTGCAGCTTGCTGAGCTGAGAGCCACCGCCAGCCTCTTCAAGGTACGCCTCAGCTAGTCACCGTTGCAAGCCAGGGTGCACCAGCTGCTACCGGCTACCCTCCTCGAAGATTGCCTTTGGGTGAGTTGCCGGGCTTGTGCCACTGGACGCTCAGGCTTCACCTACCTTTGTGCCAGAGGGCAGGGTGCAATTCGGCAGGACTGGTGTGCGGCGCTTTGCTGGACAGTTGCCAATGTACACGGCATCTCCCGACAGGAAACACGGTCCCTGTGGTTTCAATTGCTTGGCTCGAATCCAACCACAGAGGTCAACCCCCCAAGCATATAGCTGCGTGTGTCTGAAAAAAGGGGAACCCAAAATAGTAGTTGTCCTTTTGGTTTCCTTTCAAAACCGCCAGACAATGGTATCCTGAAAACACACTCAATTGTTGCCATGAACGTGCGTCTTCTGTAGCTTGCTCTGGCCTAGCACAAGGAGCACCGCCGTCGCGCGACCGACCTGGTTCGAAGGGCTGTCTCAGAGGCAGTGGCGACGGAGGACCTCGCTGCTTGGCGGGTGGCCCACGAAACATATGGTGCCTGATCGGATAGCAGTGAACAATTGCCACTTCCAAAAAGCAAAACTGGTTCAAGTGAGACATGGATCAGATGCGTTCAATCAGAGTGGGTTTCCTCGCACCTCAGCCCAAAGCCTGGCGATTCTGGAGGCCGGCGACACAGGATTGTGTCAGCATTGGCTCTGCCCTTTTGGTTGGCGTTGCGGTCAATTTTGCACCTTCGCAGACGTTGGCTTGCTAACAGGAAGCTGGAATGATGAACCATGTGCATGTTCCGGCAGCGCGCGCAGAATGCACACAGACTAAAGTTGGCGCAGCCTGAGGGGTGCCGCAATGAGAATGCGTCTCTGCAAAAATACCCCCTAGCAGAAATCATCTTGGGAGACTTTCCAGCCCGATTTCTGCGAATGTTTGGCATAAGATGCGCGACAGTTTCGCCAAAGTCGATGGTCCCCGCCAGTTTCCGGGGTCCCCTCGTGTGCTGCGCCACGGCTTGCGAGCGGCTGGAGCTGTGGAAGCGTGTGCCGCTCTGCAACTGAAGGGTTGCGACTTCGAGCTGGGGCTGCAGAAGTTCACTTTGTGTACTACTTTCGTATTGGAAAGTTTTCGACTTTCTGTGTGCCACTTTCGGCTTTCGAGCGGAGGCTGCGGAAGTTTACTTCGTGTGCTACTTTCGTATTAAAGAGTTGCGATTTTCGAGCCAAGGCTGCGGATGTTTGCTTCGCGTACTACTTTCGTACTGAAAAGTTGCGACTTTCGAGCTGTGGCTGCCGAAGTGTACTTCGTATACTGCTTGTGTGATGACTTTTGTGAGAACTGCCCCACGAAAGTTCCGCGACATTTTTTCCGCGAAGAGGGCCTTTCTGGGAACAAGGAATTTCAGACAACCGCCACGTGCAATCCTAGCTTTCTCTCCGGGCATTGAGTTGGCGCTGAGGCTCCGCCGGTGGATTATCGGGAAAGCCCCTGGGAAGTGCTGCATGAAGCGTACCAGGCGGAGGGCAGGCGTTGCTGGGGCCCAGGATTCGATGGCAAGGTGCCCGGCTACATCGCGGACCCTGCGCTTAATCCGGGCGGGTAGTGGGGTGAAGTGGTGAAGTTGTCGTTTTTTGCGTGTGAAGTACCACATTGTCTTGGGGGGTTCGTGTTCTCCAGGCGTGTTTCCGTTGAGCTTGCTTTCCCCATTGGTTTGGGGCCGGGACTTGTAGTTCAAGCCCCCATTTCAGAGCGAATTCACTTTGGGGATGCCCCTCGTAGTATATAAGCAGTTGTTTAATCCAAGCTTGACATTGGTGGAAATCAGGGCGGTTCCGACCTGTTTTTTTGTATGTATATATATATATATATATGAACAGCCGTTGTTGCACGACTGTGGTCATTTGGGAGTTCCTCCAAAGGCTGCTCGCACCGATCTTGCCCAACCCAAGTGGGACTTGAAGGTCCAGAGGCTTATGGGCCCTTTTCAGTTCCATCTTGGCAACCGCGTTGGTTTTACAAATTCGGTGCTTCTCAATAGAGTGGTCCCCTACAATGGCAACGGTATCCATTTAAATCCCTTTGAGCAACCAAAAGGAAGCCACTTGGGAAACTCCTGTATGAGACGTGGTGTCAAAATCGCGGCCCCCCAAAAAATGGATCCCATATTACCGCCTCTTTCTTTCATTTGCCCCTCGCTCGCCGAGGAGTGCCTGAGACGGGACCACCCGGCCAGCGAGGAGGAGCCTCCATTCCGCAGGCGGTGGCTAAAGCGCCGGGAGGAGGAGAAGGAGGAGACAACAGCGTCCTGGCGTCCAGGGGTCGGGCGGATTCGGACGCGGGGGGGGGAGGCTTGGGAGGGTTTGGGAGGATTGGAGGTTTGAAGCACGGAGGCAAAAACTATGCTTCGCGTACCTCTTGGCGACTGATGATTATCTGTACCCAATTGGTTGGGCATGTGTTTTCTCCCAATCCCAGCTGTCAAATGCCTGGAGGAGCTGAAATCCGAGTCCAAATGGGGAGGGGGACAGAAGTCAGTCTTGGGGGCAAAATAGAAGATCGCCGGCAAAGCTTGTGTTGATATGGTTTGAAGGCTCGAGTTGCAGCTAGGCCTCGGGCGACTGCAACCTTGGCAGAAGTAAAACGTCGAAATCTGAAATGTTCAACCCTCATGTGGGCCAGCTAGCCTTCGTGACAGCCTGTGTTTGGGAGGGGGCCCTTGTTCATGACAAGGATCCGTACAAAACGCTGGGGGTCGCGCAGAATGCCACGCTGAAAGAAATTCGACGGGCGCGGCTCGGATGCAAGCAGATCCGCACGTTGGCCTGTTCCAGAAGAGGGGATATGTGAAAGAAGCCCAGCTCTGGAATGATTCAGGACGCCAAAAAGGAATCTATTGGAGGGGTGGCCAAGTGAGGTACATTCGGCTGGCCAAAGAGACGCATCCAGACACCGGCGGAGACTCAGTGGAGTTTCAAGATGTTTTAGTGGCCTACCGAATCCTCAGCGACGACGAGCGCCGAAAGGAGTTTGACAAAAGCGGCTGCGATACAGGCGACGTGCCTGAGGAGGAGCGTAAGGCGGGGTGGGGCTGGATCCCATTTTTAAGGGGACCTTCGTCTTCGATGGGTTCCAAGAAACGGACGCCAGCTTGCTACTCAGTACAAAAGGGGGGTGTTAGAACGAACTCAGGCTCGCCCAATTGGTTCAAACGTGTTGGAGCCACGGATTCGATGCTTCTCGCGTGCAAGGTGAGACTGCCTCACGTCGAAGTCTTGCGCAACGCTGTGATGAACCACAGGCAGGAGTTCAGGGCATGCGCCTCGCGCCGTGCCGCTTGTTGTGGCCGTTCAGTCCTGGTCACAGGACTCACCGGATTGCTTAATTGGGAATAGGCGTCAACTTGTTGATGGCGGCATTGTCGTGTCTTGCGGCCCAGGGAGGTCAAGTGGGACCCCGACATGGCGAACCTGGCGGGGCAGGTGGGCACTGTCCAGTTCGATGACCCAGAGTTTGGCATCACCGCAGCTCGGCATCGGTGGGGTAGTGACGCCTGGGGCCGGTTCGAAGCCTCCTATTCCCATTTTAGTCGACATGTGCCCTACCAGGAAAGATTTCGCAAAGACAAACAATGGGGGAAAGGCCGCAACGATCCGAAGCCAGTTGGTATGCCCCCGTGGCTGCGACCATTTGGTCCATCTCCAATCTGGGAGGGTGGTTCCAACCCACCTCACCAGGTCACAACGAGCTCGTCCAAACTCAATATCTTCTTTTTTCGGGATTCCTTCATTCTGGTGAATCACAGAAAGGGCCAGGGTTGGCTGCGACCTTTGTCCAAACACCTTGTGAACATTGGAAAACCGACTGACAGCGCCCGTGAGCTACAACATTGTGAAACGGGAGACACTGAGGAAGTGGTGGTTTGGGTGTCGAAAGATGAGGGGTACTCGGCCTGGGTACCCAGCAGCATTCTCATCCACCTGAACCCCGACGGGGTGGAGCAGCCATACCAGGACTACCAGCAACTCACTTGCCCGGCATTGACTGTTTGATCTTTTGTTTTTTTTTCCCGTTCTCAAGGTTTCAGAAGGTCAGGCGTGAACCTTTCAAATCCATGTCCTTTGGGCAAGTAAGGCAAGCCCTGGTGAAGGTGAACCAAGGGGCGCCCCATGGCCTTACGTGGGAACAGGGCGGGGGGAAGGTCCGGACCTGTGTTGATTATGGGTGCTGGGTGCTAAGTGCCCATGGCGCACTTGTTGCGGTGGGCAGCTTATGGGGTCCTAGCCGCTATATAGTTGGCAACAGGCAAATGTTGTATGGCAATGTGTGCCCATGGGCCCAGCCTGGGTGAAGTTGCAGGGGCTCCTCGACCTCGCAGGATCGATGTTCCAGGAATGCTGACCGCGAAAAGCAGCACCAAACCCTATTTAAACCATGTTAGACCTAGCGTGTAACCACCCTGGACCCTTGACCCGCCCCAGGTCTAGCACATTCTCATTCTCGTGTCAGGGCAGGAATTTGGGCGTGCTGAACGGGCAGCCCACATTGGTTTGTCATGCTTCTTCTAAGGGGTCGAAAGCAGGTCTCGTTTTGCCCCCCCCCCCCCGCCCCCTGCTAACCAAGGTTTCTTGTACAGGATCTTTGCACAATATGTAAGCAGCATTTTGTGAGATTTGAGAGGATAGATCATTGCTCGAAGTTTTGCGCAATTTGGTTTGTACAGGATTCCTGCAGCATCTCTGCTCCAGATTCTTCTTTGGGGCGCCCTGGACACAAACTCGAGGCGGTTTGTTTCAGAGTGCCAAAATCTGTGCACGAGACCAGCCAGTAGTCTCTGAACCGATCCCCAAGATCTCTGCACAATCTCTTTGGATGCAGGCCGCAGCACGTGCTATTCGACTTGCCCAAACCTCCGCAAACCATTCGCTGTCAACATGAGAGCGCTGCGCTGCGCCGCAGCAACAGCGCGTCGACTAAGCCAAAGTTCGCAGAGGGTCCGCTTTCGATGGTTGACATGGTTGACATTTGAAGGCGCCACAGCGATAGCGATTCAAAAAATGTAAAGAACGCAGGGGTCCGCTGTCTATGTCTCCGAGTTTGCAGAGTGCCACAAAGGAGTGCCGGGGGGCTGTTTTCGTCATTAGACATGTGCACCAGCCCACCCAAAGTCCGCAGATCCACCGCTTGCCAAACCCGCTTCGTGCCACAGCGAGAGTGCTCTTCTGAAACAGTAGTCTTCACGCAGCCAAAGGCGGAGGGCCAGTCGAAACGCCGGTGCAGTCAACAGGCGAGCACGTCGCGAAGCCCAATCCAACCCCGGCCCTTTCTCTGACCAGGAGAATTCCTTAGCACCCCGGCATCTCAATCCCCCCCTCAAAGGCTGGGACATGGTTCTCAGGCTGATGAGACCGGAGTCCCCAGAGAAGCAATACACCCGGACGGTCCAGTACACACTGGGCTGGGCAGCCTTTGACAGCGGCGTCAAGAGCAAGCCGGACCCGAGCCTTGGCTCCATGGTTGGGCAATTTGCGGTGTTTCTTTGGCAACCAGTTCTTGCAATATTGGCAATGATCCTTCAAAACAAGCTGGGGTCCAGTCCGACTTGAAACGCCTAGCTGTAGACTCGACATGCAGCTCTTCCGAGTGTCAAGTTCCTTGTCATCACCACCTAGCTGGCCCAACGGATCTCCAAATAATGAGACCCAGGTTTTCCAAACTGTGATGGCGCCATTGGCAGATTGCATGCCACTTGCAGGCTCCGCGACGCTGCTTTTGCCCAGGCGGGGTGAGGGTGCTTGTTTCAAGCGCTGTGGGGCCAGGTATATCGGCTTTCCTGGCTGCTTTGCTGTTTTTGCTGGGTATCGGTGCCAAACCTCTTGACTTAATGTTTGTTGTTGTTTTTCTTCCTTCCTGCATTTGTTGTCTTTCTTTGCATGTATTTCTGGTTGGGTGTGTTTTTTTCTGATCTGAGCCCCGGTCACTGGCTGGGCCGCTGAGGTCATTTGCTCAAGTTTTCTCCCGGTTCCTGATACAAATGGGGAAACCGCGCCAAGGCTGCTAGGTCCTTCTTCGCTCCCGTTGGGAGTTTTATGCCGGTCAGGTCTTCTTTAAGAGGGACAGAGAAGCGGAGGATCGAGGTGTCGTCTTAGACATCGGCTGTGGACACGGCAGCGGCAGCCGCCTCTTCGCGCCACCCGGCCGCACCTGCAAACTTCCCGCCGAGGGGGAGGGGGGGTCTTCCCCTTCAAATTTTTGAACATCTAGATTTTGCAGACTTTGCGCATTGTTTTACACCTCCAGTCCAGTGGCCATGTGGCACTTCACAAGGGGCTTCCGCCTGCGAGCGTCTATAGCCTAGGAGTTCCCGGAAGTTCGACTTGGTGTTCGGCTTCTCGGCAAGCTGGCAGGTGTTGGGTGGGGTTTATTCAAGGGATGCCAAGCCCCTCTGAACTCTGAACTCGAGGGGATCGAGCGGATTGCCGAACTGAGGCCTGGATATCAACTCCACCGCCCTGTATCAAGCCAGGATGGATGCTTGGAGTTATCAACTAGCTTGCCTCACGGTCCTTCGGGGCAGTCTCTCAGGTTTGTATCCACTGAATCATTGCAACAGTTTGCCAAACGGTCTTCTGGAACTCCATTGGGGAAGCAGGAATTGACGAGCTTGAGGCTACAGCTTGGCTGGTTTTTCTGAGGACTTTGTAGGAGTCAGGGTCTTCGGTTTCTGGCTGTTTCTCCTGACCATGGGCTCTGGCCTGTTTGGATATTGGGTGCGCGTGGGTCTTGTCAAACAGGGTTTGCACACCCCGTGTTCACACTCAGCCAGTCTTGTTGCTCATTTGCCCCTTTTTCCTAAATTGTCCCTTTTGACCAATCAAATTGAATTAGCCTTTTACAAAACCGGGACTCCGCAATTTTCCCATGTCCGGTTAAGGGAACCTATTTGGCTTCAACTCCAAGGAGAGCGAAGATGAGGAGATGGGCCCAGAGCAGGGCCTCTTTTTGCTGCGCGGCGACGCCCAGGAGCTGCCCTTCAGAGATCAGCCGCATGGCCAGACCAAAGGCTTTTGAAATTGTTTTTTGGGTTTGCCATGGATGGTTTCAGTCTACTTGTTTGATCCTTTTCAGATCTAGTTTGATTTCTTTTCTCAGAGCCGTTCTCCTTTTGGATTTTTTGACCCACCTTTCGTCCTTTTGGTTTGGCTTATCTTTTCACAAGCTGAGCATGCTTCATGTCCTCTGCCAACCAGAGCAGAAACCAATTTAACCCAGGGGTTTAAGTGCCCAGGCAAGTGGACTACGCTGGGAACCCCAGGGGGGTCTTCGGATGAGTTGGCGCCGGGCGAAGGGGTGGGGAATTTGTTTAGAGAGAGGGGTCCCCAGACCTCTAGAATGGCCTATGGGCTTCGAGCTCGATGTCCAGGAGGTAGGTCCTTTGCCTTGGGATCGAAATCTTATTTCAAGGTTTGGAATGATTGTACAAATCGCAACTAGGCTATGAAGGGGACCTCCCTGGCAGTCTCGGTGTTTCGGAGGGCACTTGACCCCCAGCGTGCATAAAAGAAGGGTTTGGGATCCACTGGCTGTTGGACAGTAGCGCTCACCCTGAACCAAGCATCAAAAACGCAGCAACATCAACCCCAGTATGACTTGTCAGTCTTGGTCCCTGCATGCGGAAGGTTGGAAAAGCCCGCCTATTTTGCGGCCCCTTTCTCGGATGAGGTTTTGATTTGTGTGGACTACTCCCCAATCCTTGGACGTACCCCAAAGCCAAACTCTCAAACGCTCAAACTTTCGAATTGGTTTGTCGCTCAGTGGGTTTGGAAAACTGAGTAAAGGTTTCAACCATCCTTGCGCCCCAAGGTTTGGTGGTCCTTCGGATGGCACGAGGCGGAGCGACCGGAGGAGGTGCTGAGAGGCGGGCCGTACCGGCCGGTGTGGTCCCCGGTTGGGGGTGGTCGACCGAGGAAAGCCACCGAGGCATGCAACTTGCATCTCCTATATACAGGAGACATGCTTTTAGTGGGAGCTTCCTCCGCGGGAGGCATCTATCGCATCCTCAAGGTTGGCGGCAGGCCGTGAGTTTGAGCTGCGAGGGTTGTTGACGAGCTTTTTAAAGATCTCCTGCAGGGTGGCCATCGCGACAGCTGCTGGGAAACCTCTGGCCAAGGAGAGCACTTCAGACGTGAAGGGTAGGTTCAGCTTTGCCGCAGGAGATCATGTCCAAACTCGGCGAGTTGGGATTTTCCGTATCTCGGCGCAAGGCGATTGCCGGGTCTTTAAGTCTTTGCAAATGCATTTGTATCCTTCGCAAGTTGTGCTACGGTCCCAGGCTAAGAAGGGGGTTATGATTTGGAATTTGTCGAGGGCGGGGGCCAAGGGGCAAGTTATCTAAGGAGATGACGATGTACCCGCCTCGTTCGAAAGTCTTTCTGAACTACGCGCCTTGGAGCAGATAGCCGGGGCTGTCTTTCTTCCAGTCAGGAGTCAGGGCCCTTCTCAGGCCCCCTTCTGTTTCCGCTTCGCTGGTCTTCCGCCAAAAGCTAAGCCCAGTTGAGATACCCCACCCTCCCAAAAGTGCCATATGCCTTCAAGCGTCACATTGAAGGACATGTTGACTTGGGCTGCTCCGAATCAGGAAACTCCGGCGTCATTTCGTTCCTCGTTAAGGGGGTCTGAAGAGTTCGTCCTTTCGCCAGCTCGCATATCACACGGCCAAGCGTAGGCCTACAGCTTGTCAAACAGTTTGTTGCCAGGCCACAAAACCTCGGTGACCAGAGCTGAAGATGCGCGCGCATCGGTGGACACAGTCCTCAAGAGCCCTGGGAGAAGGACCACGCCGCCTCACCTTGGCGTTAAGCGCCTGCGAGACGTGTGGCTTGCGGTTTTCAAAAGGCGGGTGGCTCGCCAGCGGCTTGGGATTCTTCAGGCTGGTGGCCAATGGTGGCCCATGGTTCGACATGTTCAATGAATTACGCTTTGTCGCGGGAACATGGAAAAGATCATATTTCATCCTGGGAGTACACCCTCCGGGAAGGAAAACAAACGTAGTGGTTACGCCTGATTAGATAAGGCCCCCTCAAGGTCGACAAGGTTGGGACGCCCCCCAAAACTGAGATTTGTCGGAGGCCTTCTGTTTGTCCTTGTCCTTTTTGCTTCTGGCCCTTGTCCTTTTTGCTTCTGGCCCTGTTCCAGCCCATTCAAGTGGAAACAGGAACCTGGAGAGCTCTTCGGTCCTTGCCTGCTTGGCCCCCTCTGGGCAATAGGTTTTTAGATGGCAGCAGTTGTTCGTTTTGAGCCCACAAGCCCTGATTAATTGCGAGGGGTTTCTGTTAATGTGAGTCCGGCCTTCATGGGGTGTTTTCCTTTGTGAGCTTGAACGCCTTGTGATTTTGAACAAGGTTTAGTAACACACACTGCTTTTTTGGGAGAAGCACATTTGTGGGAAAAACATGAGGAGCTTACTCGTGGCTCAGCATTGGTGGGTTTAAGTGCAGATGGCTCAGCACCAAGTCCCCAAGTCCACACAAAGCAAGAAGGAAAGCCCCTTTTCTGGCTATTATTTTTTGCTGGCGCTGCCTGGGGGAACCTTGGGGTGGGTTTCCAACAAGAATGGGTAGAGTTTCTTGCGCAAACCTTGTTGGCTCTTTACTTTGGCTGGAATTTGGGAACTTTCGTGGACACTTTGATGTTCTGCATGCTCCGTCACACCTTGGGAGTAGAGGAATGGAGGGAATGGAGGAAGGAAGGAAGGAAACCAGGTGGGATCCAGCCTTTGCCGCCAGTAGCTTCATCTCGCATGAAGCAGAGTTGAAGCACTGCTCTGAATAACTCGTAGCTGAGTTCCTGAAAAGACACCTGGATGATGGATATCCCCTGAACTTCCAAAAGGAAAAACAAGCAGCATCCCAACAACAAACGGACATCAAGCCATGAAATCCCAAGTTGCCTCGGCACCCAAAGACACCCTATTTGGCAGCCAACCCTCTGTCTGATTGCACGAGCCATGGGTAAAGTGTCTGGTGGCGACATGGTGCTCTTCGCCTCGCATGAGCCTTGGTTGGGCATGTCGATTTCCCGCAGGCTGTGGCCACAATGCGCAGGGGAGAGAATGAAGGGATTAGTGAGGTGGGAAAAATGGGAAGGGAAGGAAAGGCAAGGGAAGGAAAGAGCGAAGAGACAAGGAGAGGGACAAAGAGGGAAGGAGAGGGACGCAGCTGGTTCTCAGGAATGGCCCTTGCCTCGCATTCGCCGCCCCACCTCCTTCGAGCTCGAGGGGACGCAGGCGAACCACCCGAAAAACGGAGGTTGTGGCGATCAAAGGAGTTTGTGTCGAAAAGGCCGAAGGCTGGCCACTTCCATTTGCTGAAGGTGCTTTACCCCCCCGGCACTTGTTGGTTCCGGAGCAGGATGGCCATGTCACGTCTGATTCGCGTTTGATTCTTGAGCGGCACCTTCAGTAGCAGTCAGAAGTTGTGCCATGGGCGCTTGTTCCCCCAGCCACCTGTGTATGCGAATTCTTGGGGCCGCTCGGTCGTGGCCTTCTTTCTGGACCTCTTTGAAGGAGTATTCTCTCGCGGCCTTCCAACTCGTTGGCAATGCTTCATTTGCAAAGTCCACTTAGCTGCATGCCCTTTGTTGTCCATCCGGGGCCTTCGTAAATGACAAAGGTGGCCGGTCAGTCCCTTCAAGAACTCCAGGGGTTCGTGAATCCTGGGTTCACATTAAATTTGTTTCCGTTGGGCATCCAACAATAGGTTTTTGAAGGCAAGTGTTGCCGCTGTGACTTTTACCACCATTCCCCGGCGAAAAGTCCCAAGGGCCTAGTGTCTCGAACTACAGCCCACCACGTCAATCGCCCTTGCTCCCCTTCACCCCCTCAGGTGGAGCAGGTGGAAGACCAGCTGAAGGCCAAGAAGGGTGTGGCCAAGCAGCCGGGCAGCGGCGGCACTGGAGGCCAGGAAGATTCCGTGCCCCTCCTGTGGGGGGGGGGAGAATTCCAGTTGTACCAAGTAACATGGATACCCCGAAGCATTGGAGAGAGATCCCCAACACGATTCCTCTAGAACACTAGTGGGACTTTGGGTTCCATGTTGACCGGCAGGAGAGGAGTTTCATTTCCACCTTGGTGGACTTGGTGGACGAACCCTCTAGGCCCATTTCTATTCAGAGATGTCTGCCCAAGGCGTGCAGGGGCGGAAGGAAATACTTGTTGCCTGAAGGGGGCACTCCGCACGGGCAGCCCTCACCGAAAGGATGTTCCTTTGATTTTGCTGGAGGGACCTCCATCGAGCCGCCAAGACAAACTCTTAAAGGTCCGAGCGAGTTGTGCCTCTCAAGTGGCAGCAGTTTCCTCATTGGCATGCTCATCATTTCATTGCTAATCCATGAGTGGCCACAGGATTGGGGGGAACCCTATAGACATGTTTGGGGTGGCTGTTCCGATTCTGGCGCCAGGAGGGAAGCAACAGTCGCCCAAGCCCAGTTTGGATCCTCCCGGTTTGAAACTGGACTCTCAGCAGTCCATACAGTTGATGTCACGAAAGCTAGCTTTAGCTAGCTGAAGTTTCTCCTTGCGTAAGCAAGGTAAGGGGCTCAAATGCCGAAAGATTGATTTTTTCAATTATTTGAGCCGAAAAGATTGAAAAACATCAATCATTGGTGAAGACACGAGGGAAAGGGAAAGGTAATATGATGTAGAGATGAACCCGGCTTCTTGCTCCCGCCGGCATACCTTTCCCGTCTTATCTTCCCACCCATTCATTCCTTGCAGCCGCTGTGTGACGAGGTAACGAGGATAAGGAAAGGAATGGATGGACAAGTGAATGCCAAGGAAGGAAGTGAAAGGCATTCTATAGCTTGTCCATATCTCTCCATTCCTTCCCGTTCGTTTCCTTATCCCTTTCCTTCATCCCTCTTCATCCTTGCCTTTCACCTGCCGTGCCTTTCGGTGAAGCAATGAATGAGAGAGTGAGGAAAGAGGAAACGAATAGACGAAGGAAGCGAATGAATGGAGAAGGCAAGGGACGGGTGAATGTTAGGGAGATGATGGCTGATGGAGGCAACGGTGTCTTAGACCCCCCCCCCCCCCTCCCCCCCCCCCCGTACGTTGAACACTGCCCCCCCCCGGGTCTCAGGCTCGATTCCTCCCTGGTCCATCCCCCCCCCCCAGGCAGTGGCTCAGTGTTCAGCAGTCTCGGTTTGCCCGTTTTGGACTTGGTGCTACGAACTTTTACATGTTCCACCGATTCAGCTTGTTCATTTGAGACCTCAGTCTTCTCGGCAAACCACCTCGCAAGAATCTTTGCACACGCAGCATGCAGAACCCAGAGGTGCTTTAAGACGCCTCTCGTTGTTCATTTTTCAAGGTTTGCCACGCCACCATGTGCGTTTGCGTGTCGCGTCCTACGAATCTTGCCGGGCCTCTCGTTGTACACAAGCTACCTATGAATCCACTCTGTCACCGACCCATCTCATGCAACAACTGCTAGCTTTCGTTCACCCGCTCCTCAAGTTTGTCATAGCGGAAGGGATGGAACATGTTGAACTCCCCAACTCCTTTCTTTGCAAGGGGAAAGGTGATTCTCATCATTTGCCAGTGGCAAGGCGCTTCCCCACAACGAGACATTGACCAGCGTCCGAAACTGATTGGCTGATTAGCTCAAGCGTGGGCTTTCGGCTCGCCAGGCATGATGGGGGGCCTTGCTGGCGCCGTGGGTGGCATGATGATGGGCAGCAAGGGCGCGAAGCACTCCGGAGACGGGCGGGTGGGCGCGGGCCAGAGGAAGAAGAAGGGCATGCTGAACGACGCGCTTTGGACTTCAAAGGGCCCTTGGGCCATGGTTGTGGAACATAATATGCAATTCGGATGTTGGGTGCCCAATTTCTGTGCTTCCAAGAGAAGTGATCAAGTGGCGATGGCCCAGTTGTTATCACAGCCATGTTCCACAACTATGCCCTGGAATGCCCTGGGCTTTAGTTGGTCAAAGAGAAAGAGGACGTGGAGAGCTGGGCGCCTTTTTTGTTGTTCAAGTAAAAGCGGACAGGGATTCGGAAGACGACCATTACTACCTTCAAAGGGCCTCCTGTCTTTTTGCATGATTGGAAAGAGGGCAAACAAATTGGCCCCTTAAAAGCATGGAGTTGAGGAATCTGTCTCGGCATCGGACAGCTGGCAACTTTCTAGCGCAAGGCCCTGGAAGAGAGAAATCCTTGGCGAAAAGGGGCCATACCCCGTGACTAACATCTGGGGAATTCAGAGTTCAGCAATCATGACTTAGCATCAATCTTCCTGCCCTGACCCCACACCGCTTGAAGCGACGATTGGGGGAAGAGGGGCCGCAGGAAGGGTTTGATGTTTGATCCTTGGTTGATTCCATCTATGGTACCTGATTTACCGTTGTGGGAAAGTAGATGGATGCGATTGATGTTACTGGCCTGAGGCATTGCAGCCGGAAAGAACGATTTCACAACACGGGGGTTGTCCTAGTGGTTCTGTTGGCCGAGAGTAGTTGCTGGGAGCCGGTTTAATAAAAACGCAGACATACACAAATGCGCGCACATGTATTTAGCCTCAGATGATGGCAACGTACTGGCACAAGTTCTGACCGTGGTACTGCAAGGCTTTCCCAGGCATTTGGGTGCATGGTGGCTCACTTGAGCCTTATCTATGCCCTACTGGGCAGACAGAATGTATTTACGTGCGTAATGCCCAGAAAGAGTCTGACTAGTCACTGCGGGTTCCAGCAAGAATGGCCAGAGGCGACAGGGGGACATAAATTTGAATATCGAGAGGACCCTTTGTTGAGCGCTTGGGTTTGGAGGGAGTTCCCGCTCATAGCAAAAGCAGGACTTCGAAGATGCCTATTTCAAAGGCTTGATATGAGAAACCATTTTGCACTTGACTGCAGCCGGAAAATACTTGCAAGCATTTGGGGTGGTTTCGAGCCGTTCATCCTCTACTTTCCTCGGACAACTCTTCATCTTGATTCCCACATGACATTTCTAATGCAGCTTCTGCCGCATCTCATCACATGTCCCACGATCTCCTCGCCGGGCAAATTCAAACTTTGGCTCTTGCGACTGGCCATTCAGACCGATTTGGAGTTACATTTTGAGGGCGAGCATCTACACCTCATAGAACACTGCCACAATGCTTATATATACATATATATATATATATTTATAGACGTATATGTATGATACGCTCAAAAGTACATATCCCCCTTGCAGGGCTCACCTATCTACTTGCCCACGATGAACAAACTGATAATTCAAAGGTAGGAGGTGGAGCCTTTGCAGTGCGCGGCGTCTGCTTGAGTGTGCGAACATGCTCGGCGAAATGTCCCCCAGGCCTCACACAGCAACAAACACGTTCCAATTCAACGTTGGGTCCTCAAAAGCTGCACAGGCTCAAACAGATGGAACAAAAGCTGCAAGCTCCAACTATATTTTGCCAAAAAGCTGCACAGGCTTCGCAAATGCAAAACTTTGGAGACCAATCGAGTCCTGGCCTCTGACATTGTATTTGGGTTTTGTAGTTTTTTAATGTTGGGGCCTGTACGGCCTTCAGAGCTTTTGAGTGTATTGTTGTATGTTTTCGAACCTGTGCAGTTTGTTGAGCTCAGGCATGAAAAAGCGCAAAACTATGTTTTTGCAGTTCCAGTAGAACACTGCACAAACAGCAATTCCAACACTGCCGAAGTTACACCTGAAAACGCTTTCCGTGTTCATATTTTTGCTGGCTTGATTCGTGTTTCGCATCAAGCACGCAGACAACATGCGGGACAATACCAACAAATGGAAGGAAAACACTGTAAACTACAGTGTTTTGTGCAAGGCATCTACAAACCGAATGAAAACTGGACATCTGCAAATCTGCAAATGGTTCTCTGCGGTGCAAAGTAGGACGGTGGGGCTTTGTGTGGGGTGGTGGTGGCGTTGTTATATGTGCAGATGTACGGATACGTACAGATGTACGCCGTCATATATATATATACATATATGCACACTCGCACACGTGTAGATGTTTGAATGCGTTTATTTGCACGCACACAAACACAAGTGAAGGCACTGGGTTGGATCTTTGTCCGCTAACCTTTGGGAAAACCAACGTATCCCAGCTAGCGCACACAGTTAATATTTTTTGCACACACACACACACGCATACGTGTACATGCATACCTACATATATACACATGTCACGTAGTGTTGTTTTCTTCTTTTTTCTCTTAAACGTATATATATATATATATGCTTTGTACGTGAGTTGCCGTGCTGAAGTCCATGTATAGCATCCGATTGCTAAGGCCCTGGGCGGCATGGGCGCGGCAAGTGGTTTGGCCACGATGGGGGCATCCATGGCGGGAGCCTGGGCCTGCAAAATCTCAGCAGGGCAAATCCCACTGAGGGCCAGGGGGCTAACACTTGATGTGCGTTTCACACAGCTCGCCTCTTGCATTTGAATCGAGCCCTCATTTTTTTGGGGGGGGCCCAGGTGTGCCCCCCTTTTGCACCGAGGCGACCTGCTCGGGTCCAAGAAGATCAAGCTGAAGCACGTGGACAAGCGCAACGAGGAGGCCGTGGAGCGATCCCAGGAGGAAGCCCAGCTCACCGGTGAGGGCGCCATGCAGAAATTTCGCCTCGGTCGAACTGAGCCAAACTTTTCTTTGGTGGCTTCCTTTTGTGCGATCCCAAAAAAGGGTTTCCAAGAACTAAAGTTCCACAACCAGCCGGAGAAACTCAGCTGTTCTGACGGGACTTCTGCTATTTGCCCTTGTGGGCGGTGTGAAACTTGTAAAACACATGTTCAATCAATTGGCCTTTCCCGGGTTGAAGTTGCAGGGGTAAGCTACGTCAGTTGTGTGAGCAAGCACCCTCTTTCCCTTTGTTACTTGTTCGGAGAACTCACCAAACAACAAACCGGTTTAGTCTTACTTGTGATTGTGTTGATCCACTGCAGAGAGCATGTAGCAGGCAGGCAGCCAAACAAAAGGCTAACCCCACAGCAACCCACAAATGGGTGGGGGGCATCAGGTTGGATTGGCACGGGCAAACATGTGCTGTGCTTCCCCTTTCCCGCCTTTGCCTGGCAACCCACGGTTGTCGACGCCAGGGTTGTCGTGTTGGCAGGCGGCGCCCTTTCTCCGTTTTTGTTTGCAGGGAAGCCAAGGGGAAGCTGCGCCAATTCTTGAAGGTCATATATCACACACGCAGGGTTGATTGAGTTGCTCTTTGGGACAGGGCGCAGCTCAGCAATCAAGGCCCCTTGCCTAGGAATTTCTGATCTCAGGTTTGTACACTGTAGTTCGCCCAGGGGTCAGGACCTCCGGGCATAGATATCTGATAAGCCGATGGGTTCGTTTTCTGACGACGATTTTGAGGCGAGGACGTGGCCACGGTGGCGGATGTTTCCCAGCAGGCAGAAGTGGACGAGGCTGAGGAAGAGGAAGGAGAAGGCACTGCGCTCGCGGTCGCCGTTTGGGTTTGTTTTGACGTTTTTATTGCTCTTTTGGGGGGCGTCCGAGTAGGTGACGGTGACCTTGCCTCTCATGTGTTGTTTCGGTTGTACCTTTGCCTCGGCAAGGTGGCTGCCTCTTACGAAGTGAGCAAGTTTCCTTGAGCATACATTGTTTCATTGTGAGCAGACGGAGCCCTTTGGAGTGTGGCGCTGTGGTAAGAATCAGTGCCCAATCTGGCCGTGCAGCTTTCCTGTTGATTTTACTTTCAAGCCATGCCCAACTAGAGGTCGCTGACCACCCCGCGGCCCAAGCAATCCGGTCTTTTTAATTGTGGCACGCAGGATCTACTGTACCTACACCTATGATAACATGCATACACACACAAACACTGAAGACACCCATCCACTCACTTACCCACGCCACCCCCACCCCCGCCACCCCACCTCGCCCCACCCCCCCACACCCTACCCCACACCCCACACCCCACACCCCACACCCCACACCCCACACCCCACACCCCACACCCCACACCCCACACCCCACACCCCACACCCCACACCCCACACCCCACACCCCACACCCCACACCCCACACCCCACCCCACCCCACACCCCACACCCCACACCCCACACCCCACACCCCACACCCCACACCCCACCCCACCCCACACCCACACCCCACACCCCACACCCCACCCACCCCCCCCCCAAATCCACGCTTGGTCCAACAAGATTCAACTTGATGGCTGCAAGGGGAAACCCAGGCAAGACCGCAAGACTACCAGGAAACGCTCCTGGTGTTTGGGGTTGCCTCCGAGTTTTCATCAGGCCCACCAGCGGGTGACGTTGAGGAAGCCATGGGCAAGGCGTGGCGTTGCTGTGATTTGCAGGGCTTGGGCTCGCCAGAGGTCGGTCTCGCATTGCAAGGCTTCATGGCGCTCGTTCAAAATCTGTGCAAACGATCGATGCTTGACCCGTGGTGGAAAAGGGGGCCCAAAAGGAAGCCAGCGAGTTTCAGGACCCCCTATTTTTTGAAAACACCCTCAATGTTCCTGAGTGGAAGCAGCCGTGGCTATGTGCCTGTCAAAGCCCGGGTGAGCCAGGCTCCGGATGTGTCAGTGGCTGACCTCTACAAGTACTACACCAACAAGTTGGCCCGGCGCGCGCGGCAGGCGGCCATCTTAGCAGACAACGCAGTGCAG